CTCTGGCTTCTGATTGGTCAATAAAGCCTGTTCTGTTGTACCAGTCTTTTACCTATTAGGGCTCGGGTATTCTACAGTAGCGACGGATCAGGGCGCAGACAAGTTGGACCACCTGGTCTCAGCCAACCCTGTGTCGCTCTGAGTTCCAATAGCATGCGAGGAAGATAAGTAGCCAACCAGAGAAGGACATGGATGAGGTGCAGTATATAATGAGCGGCGTGGCCGGCGTGGTGGACTCGGATGGAGGACGCCTGACGTGTGGCTCTGGCTTGTGATTGGTCAATAAACCCGATTCTGTTGTACCAGTGTTTTTCCTATTAGGGCTCGGGTATTCTACATTCGAACACGAATAGGGCGCGACCATTTTCTGTCACATTGTTCTCAGCCAATCATGTTTCCGTATACTTGAAGCGCCCGCAATGAAGCCAATTGGTATATGACTGGAGGTGAAATGCAATAGAATGAACGGCTCCACCGATATACGGTGTAAAGCGCCTACCAAGCGGGGACCTAAATAGGGAGATGAATGTTAGCCTGTCCCTCTTAGACAGCCACACCATCATGGTTAGCTACCAGGCACACGATAGACGAGTAGCTGGAAGAACCGGATGTATTACATGCTACCGCAAACAAACTTAGAGGGCAAGAGCTTAAAGAGAGTTAGTGTGGAGAAAGAGATGGCCTCGAGGAGGATTGGTGTTGCCCTCGAACTCACGGGCGTGCCTTGAGGAAGGCGAGAGTGCGAAAAGGGAGAGGAGGACAAAGAACAGGCTAGACCGGCGTGTGTGTGTTGAATGGCGCCCGTCAGTCAGTATATTATCTTGCATGCGTGTCGCGTGTATCATATCTCAGTATATACGTTAACTCTCTGGAAATGCGAAAGTTCAAAGCAGTACAGAGCGGTCATAATTAATAACTCTTTTGCTAACTTTACATTTGTTTCTTTTTTGAAAACTGACTGGTCAGAATCAGGTATGAGGAAGGTCGTCATGTATAGGAAAGCACGAATAGGCAAATACCGCTGTAGAATACCCGAGCCCTAATAGGAAAAACACTGGAACAACAGAATCGGTTTTATTGACCAATCACAAGCCAGAGCCACACGTCAGGCGTCCTCCATCCGAGTCCACCACGCTGGCCACGCCGCTCATTATATGCTGCACCTCATCCATGTCCTTCTCTGGTTGGCTGCTTATCTTCCTCGCATGCTATTGGAACTCAGAGCGACACAGGGTTGGCTGAGACCAGGTGGTCCAACTTGTCTGCACCCTGATCCGTCACCACACCACACCGCGTTTGACAGGCCTGTTTTATATTAATTACATATAATCACTTTGTCTATCAACAGTTAATTTACTTTTGCAGCCCATATTGCCGTGTAGTTCAATTATAATGCCGTTAAAAATGTCAAAACCTCTGTAACAACATCAAATAAGGATGTCGCGTATGCGGAGCTAAGTCACCTAGAACCCACTCCAGTAATTTTAAATGCGATTTTTGCTTTGTTGCACAGCCCGATTCACACAAGAAAGATGGAGATTTGAGCAAATAATATCTCGAAAAAAAAAATCCTACCCCCAGCAAACCGCATTTACTAACGATTAGTAAATTATCGGCAATGAATATCCATGTTGTAAATAATGAACTACATCCATTGTCTCATCGACGGTGATTCGTGTAGCAATGTTGGTTTTTAATGTAGTGTTGTGACGCCATATATAACTAACTGCCCAACAAAGCTGAAGGCAGTGGAAGGACAGAGTCAATCGTTTATTCGAGAACTTGACGCAGGTAGTGTAGTCTGTGGGGTTTGCGCGCATTTATAGCTCATATGTGTGAGTCATATATGCGCTAACATCGAGACCTGTGTGTGGGGATAATCTAAGATAAATATTCGTTTTAATGAAGAGGGAGTTGAGGATTCGAGCGGCTGGCACCATGCCGCAAGAAAGGGGAACCCTGTTTCGGTGGCGGAGCGATTGGATTAAGGGGTTGAATTAGCACGATTGACAACAGTAGCATTAGCATAGACCGCGGTTAAAGTGGATTTCTCCTTTCTCTATCCTTTAATGATCACTGAGTAAGATCAGCACCATATATGTAACAAAAAATATAGGACATGCTACTAGGTTAATAGCATTTAACTGAATCAGGACCACTGATGTACGTGACGTCTGCGACCTATGCTGTCTAAAAAAACTTTTTCTGTCGCTCTCTTTGTGGGCACGCTGTATTAGTGATAACAGTCAAGCTTATTATTTATAATTTACGACTTGCTTAAGTTTGTGATTAAAACCAGGACTACTGCTTCAAAGGCGGTGTAGTGTTAACATTATTTTAGAGGTTTTTTGGCCAGGAAATTTGTTGATGACTCATTAACATGATTATAAGAATACCTTTAAGTATTTTAAGCAGTAACTAGAATCACAAAATTGCATTAATTTTTACTCCATGTAATCAGAGATAAACTTAGACCGATCTCAATCGTTTGCCAAAGCAGCAGATAATTTTAATCTTGATAAAGATTTGACAGTCACTTTTCTCAGCACCTTTTAACTCTAACTACCCATAGGGAAATCTAGGATTCAATACTCTTATGCAATGCTACTCTGTACCTTGTTGTGACTTTGGAACACCAAAGCTACTGTATTTTATGCAGTCAGGATCTATGTTTTGAATTGCCAAGCCTATTCGTAGACCTTCTATATTTACGTGGAATTTCACATTTAGTTTTGGGGCTTAGATTGAAGCATATACTACAACAGGAAGCAGTAAATGTGATTATGAGGACACTGCTGACCGAGAAATATTAAACAAAATTCTTGAAGTTTTATGTGGAGGGCAACTCCAACGTGGAAATGTGAAGTGATTTTAGTTTCTATAATTGATCAACTCCATTGGGAGTGAAGATTTTGGCGCAGTCTAATAAAAGATTTGATCTTGGAGCAGGATATACTTTTCGAACTAATTAGTGAAAACTTTCGTCGCGTATGCAGTCAAAAATATCAGATCAACACACGCAAGCGCAATCACCATTAGTATATCGAATATCCCAATTGACTATACTCTTTTTGTCAAACTGAGTGACCTCCTTTAGCTTAATCCACGATAATTCGGCGAAAAAGTTGCTCCTGTTTAGCTTCTTTAGGAACTTCATTTCAGGCATTCACTTTTCCCACAAACCAGATGAACAAAATCACAAACAGAAGCTGTGAGAAGTGTAGAAGTCTTTACATCAATACCCAAAACCGCAAAATCAATTTCAGAGGAATCCGCAAATACGCTGACACGAGATCAATTTCATGTGTCTTTTATGCTTTAGAAGCAAGAAATTACAAGTATTCAAAAGAAAAGTAAACCAATGTCATAGCATCAGGACAGTACGAGGATGGGCATTAGTATCAAAGCTGAGTTGTTGAGTTGCCGTTCCACCTGGCCTGCTCATCGGTGTCATCTGGCATATGTGACAACCGGGTGATTTTGCCCTGAAAGAGACGAAGAACAAGGGCGGAGGTTAGCCTATTTAAACTTTCAGTGAGAAGCGGTTCGCTGCAAATAAAAGATATGCGTATCATTAACATTTACTTGTTAGCTTTACGATTTCAAGCGCGATTCCTCGGTATTCGGTCAAGCTAATACAGCAAACATTTTGGAATCTATTAGAAATTACTCACATGAGAATACGCGCCAAAGTACATTTAGAAGAACGGTCTCGACTCTCGGTTGAACTTAAAGCTCAACCTACCTTGGTAAGCGTCCTAAATAAGGCCGAATGTTTGATTCTATTCATAATTAATGACCACAACAATCCTTATTTTAACCATGTCATTTTGATAAATCGGCATGTGGTGACAAGATACACATCAGCTACACAAATGTTAACATTTAATCAGACCTAGCATCTACAAATATTTTGTAAATATCTTTTAGTACGCTATGGTTGTCCGAATAATACTAACCCAAATGGCTTTCCATAGACAGTTTTCGGGAATTCGGCTTTTACTTGGCCTATGAAGAATGACTACATCTGCAAAGGTACCGTCCGGTACAACGAAGCTCCTTGTTACAGAGATTAATCTTGCGAGAGTTTCGGTGCAAATTGAGGCAAGTGCAATGATAAAACTTACCTGTCGTCTGTAAGCAGTCGTTTCGGAAACCCCCGGGCCAGGCTTAGGTTCACGGGATTCGCGGTTCGTCGGAGACACCGGCAAACTACTCTCGACAGTGCGCCCATCACTTCTGAAGAGCGTCTGCCAGGCGCTCTGCCCTAAGTATACGAGACCATTGCCAAGGTAGAAAATCGCGTCCCTCATGCCTCGCAGACCACCCCATAAGATTTCCATCGTCCTAGAAATCACATCTAAATAGGACAAAATGAAAATGACCAATACAACTGAGACACTGGGGCTTGTGCTGGCTGTTAGAAAAAAACAAAACCAACTGGTGGTCGCACGGTGGCAATGAAGACAAGATGCCATTTTTTTATGAAAGAGTTTGATTGTCGGGTACACGACAGGTGCACAACAAAGAAACAACCAGAACCACCCAATACAGGGCGAAATAACTTTAGGTCCGACCGAAAGAGGCGAATGAACGCACTTCCTGGGTATTTTACGAGATAGCCTCTTGATGTAGAAGTTGAGTTGGTACTATGGAGCATAAGGACAGCAGAAGGCCAGAGGTCAAGATCGCGCAGGGTTCTGGAGTTCTCGTCGTCGGAGGTGAATTGACGTGGAGGGCTAGGACGCGTCTGACGGAAGGTAAAACCGGTGGCAAGAACCAAGGCGAAGGAGGCTCGTACAGCGTCATCGAGGGGAACAGCATCTGGGTCCTGCGTCGACAGGACACAAGAGGCAATGTACTGTCTAACTTCAGTGCCCAAGTGTGCGTCGGCTGGAAACACACCAACTATGTAAGAGCCGTCGGGTAGGCGCAGTTGGAGACGGATCTGTTGACGTAAAACAAACAAACTACTACGTGTATGAGGATGGTCAGGAGCGCAAATCACCACCTAAGTCTAGTAGCACATGAAGGGTTTGAACCGTGAGGTGTGGAATAAAAAAGGTTGGAATTAGTTTTTAAGAAATAAGGAAAAACTGAAATACAGGGTTTAATAAAACATAATTGCTCCTGGGATTTTTCAGCGTGCCGATCACAAGAATCGTTTGAATCATAATTTGAAAGTGACCACATTAAATTTTCTGCCTAAGGATTTTGGCTATACAAATTAGGATAATATTCGCCAACCAGCAACCTTTCGTTGAAACTGTAGTAATGCTTCTGAAATAACTGGCGCAATTGCTCCGTATAAGAAAACATCTGAAACATCCACGAAAACTGCAGAGCATATTAATGTGGCATTAAAATTAATTGCCTAGAGGACATCATAGAAATCAAAAAAGAGGAAAGTAACACGAAACAAGTCCTGATAAAATAAAAAGAATAATTAGGGTAAGTGAAATTAAGCTAGCGACATTTTTGATCAAGTGAGATCTAGTAACTCGAAAAAACCTCCGTGACTAGTGGGATAAAGAATGTGATTTGAGAACTCTGTCTATAGCTGAAAGTTCACTTCATGTTAGTTGCGATTTTCTTGAGCAGGACGTATAACACCCTTGTTACTCATAGAACGGATCGAATATAGAATGGTAGGCGGCTGATTAAGTCCACTGGGATGATACAGATGACGAAATCGGGTCTACGTACCTCATTTGGATTGACGGCAGCGGTGGAGGCAAAGTTTGTCGACTTGGGTGGGGTTGCGGCCGGCGCCAAAACCCCTAACCTATCACGTCTATCCTGTTCAATTTGAGCAAGAATACGTTGGCGCGCCGATCGGTCCTCCATCTTCTTGCGTTTCTGTTCTTCTAAGCGTTCACGAATCTCTTGCTCCTGTTGACGACGCTTAATAGGTGATGTCAAACAATTCATATGCAGCGATTAGTTAGGTTTACTCACATAACGGAAAGCATTCTTTGGAGGTGACCTATTAAAGTCCCCAAGATTACCTTTCTAAGCTACAACAATTACGTACTCGAAAACTCAAAATGAATGCATCAAATAGAAAATTGAAAGTTTCGTCGAAATAAAGCATGCTTCTTGTTGCAGTTTAAGTGTGCACGAAAACACCTCAAATAATGCGGTGCCGGTAAACTGTCATGACCTATCAAGGCAGAAAGACGAAAACCCCAAACGCACGATAACATTACAACAATGTAATGCACGACTTAGGAAATAATATAAAAGAAGCTAATTAAACTGTTAGTTAGTCACTTTCTACTGACTTTGGTGCCTTTACGAACGACCACAAAACAATGGCAGAGGAGTTAAAAACGACATTTGATCCTGGTGCAGGAATTGAGTTGGAACACAATCAGAAATTACAAACGCTATAGAGCCAAGTTTACTCTTTTTGGGCGTCTCGTAGCATGCGATGAGAAAGCAAATAAAAAACAACGACATAGAGGAACCACCAACATTGAATCCACCCAAAGAATTAGCACCGCATGGAAATCGTAGACGTGAATGACTGTAACCAGAATTTACAGGCATCAAACGACGGTCCTCAAAGTGCGACTTAGGGGATGGCACCCTTAAGTTCAATCTTTTAAGAGTCACACCACCGAATAACGACGCAAACGAGATAGGAATCATTAGATGAGCAAACAAGCTATCAAAAAACACCTCGATGACACTAATACAGCTACTTTTGTTTAACTAATGCATAAATGTCCCGTGGAAATGACGCGTCATTAAGAGACTGGAATGACCTTTGGTAGTTTTCTGAACAAGCCTAAGAGGCTAATGTGGCAGCATTATTTCCGAGGTCTCTTTTGGATGCACAAGTCAAGCATCGCACGTACAGCTTGCTGAATGAGTATAACATGGCACTACATTAACTAAAAATGATTCGTTACCATTGTGATTAAATTTTAGTCGACGTGGAAAGATTCTACAACCCTATTTAGGTCTACGCTTAAAATTAAGCTTGGGTTACAATGGCGACCGGCAATTTGACAGTTTACAATTTAACTCCACTTGATTTGTGAAAAAAAGTGATAATTCGAATGGAAATCGAGTCTACATTTCCAACACCCTGGGCATCCAAAAACCATTTCCGAAATTCGGACTACGAGTGTATTAAATGCTGTAGTAAGTAATCTAGCATTGATAAATACCTTAAAGTTAGCACATGAAATAGCTATCAAAACATTGTCTAAACACACTTTTAACTTCTGTTTGCAAATATTACCCTTGATTAATTGAAAATGGAGTCAAAATCGAACTTATCGGCAGTTAGAAATATTTTCCAGAAAACTTTACCAATGGATTCGAAGACCATTGAGCATCAGCTTGGTAGGTAATCATGCTTAGTGCTCAGGGTAAACGTATGCAATAAGCAAAGAATCCCTAAACCTTGACGATCAGCATTACAGGTCAATAAACCAAAGTGTGGGTTAAAGATAAACGCACCGCAAAAACTTAACTACCTTAAAATCTGTTATTTTGTGCCCCAAACTCCGCCGATTCAGTTCAGCTTCATGAGTTTCCTGAAATGCCTCCACAGCCTGTGCCTGCCTTTTCTCCTCTAATTTCTGACGAGCATACTGCACGCGGTCGTTCAGACTGCTGCTGCCACTTGCTGCTTGCCGAGCAGAAGGTGGAGAGTTAGTTGCGGTTTCGCTCTCATCAGACTCCTGTTTCTGTACTTTCTCTGGTTGCGGAGTGGCAATGTGATCAGATGAGACAGTCTCTTCTGTAAAATTGATGTGAAATAAAATCAACTTTAACGGTCAGCTGATAGAAAACGAAAACATTTACCAACTAAGCTTACCATAAGCCACGACCTGTTGTGAAAGCCATGATGCAATCTGGTCTTCAGAGAAGTTTGACGTTCTCACCGCCAAAATAGATCCTGATGGTGATATCAAGTGAATACACGGCAGGGACGGTACCTCATAGGCTGATGAAAATTGACCAAAAGTTGCAGAATCGGAATCCAACTGCAGACCTATTATGATAGATTGTTTTAAGCAACAAAAAGATCAGGTCTACTATGTTTTAATGTGGCTTTGAAGATACAAATGTGACAATTGCAATTTCAAGGAGCGCACTTATCCAATAGACGTACAGCACTACTGTGTTGGTACACAACGCATTGAAGGATTTCAAGGAATTATTCATTAAACTATAAGCATACCTGCTATAGGGCAGCTTTGCCCAAAATTACAGCTCAACTTATTAAATCCTGGGCGGTCTATTGACGCACCAGAGTATAACATGACTGAGAACTTACATACAATATTTCGGCAATGACGAGTAATACTTGCGGCATTGAGCGTTGTGGCGATTTCAGATGACAATGAATTTTCTTTGTCTGCATACGAAAGACCAGTGTTAAATCAAAAGAAACACTTGCAAAAGAGAAAACAATAAAAAATACCTTTTGAAAATACCAACAGGAGCACCTTATCAGATTTCACCTTCTGTACGCACTGGCCTATATCACCAGAATACCATTCCATCGCTGGCAGATTGATATCTATAATGTAAAAAAATTTATAGCAAGCATTTTTACAAAACCCACACCTATGCACTAGTGGCGCGTATCTTGATGGGCAGATAAAACACAAAACATTCTGATAGAATAGTTCGCAAACATACGCAACTGTAACGAAGAAGAGGCCTCAATAAAGAAACTGGAAATATATTCCAGAACAGCTTCCACAAGTGTCAAAAAACAGATCCAGGTAAATAAAACAAACGGACAACAAATAAGAGATATGGGATTAACTGCCCAAGTGGTATCGTTTAGTGACTTGGTAATAACTAGGAGAGTGAATATTGGATGAACCATCAGGTAACTCACTCAAAAAAGACGAACTCAAACGTTTTTCGTGTTGTCGAAGAAGCGAAATAAGTTTTGTCGACGCACAGGACTAAAATGGGAGGAGTTAAGATCTGACTAGAAAAGTTCATAGGTAAAATGGATAACACATTTAGGACCAAAACAAAATGCACACAAAGTTCTCACATAATGCGACGATTTACGGAAACAATAAAGGCAAGAATGAAGGCCTCCTTCGTAACAAAATTATGTATGGACAGTACTTTCATTATGATAAAAGAAATTTAAGAAAACCGTTGTTAGGAAACGCACAACTTTCATTAACACAGTTTGTGTTTGCAAAAGTAATCTTTTATACATTAATACTTAAAGCTTGATGACAACACACCGCATTCACCAAAAGGGAAGAAAAGCTTCAACAAACTGGTGACGCCTTGATGCAGTAACATACACCAAATAAAAGCATTATAAAGCGGAAAATAAAAAGTACTACAAAACAAATATTAGCATCTATTAAAGGCAAAGAGTTACGTTAACGTTCAACGACACGAAAATCTACCGACCGCGGCCCAAATCTTCCACTTTTGACTTTGCGAATTTAAACATACAGCATAAATAGTTAAAAATGACGTGCAAGTGGTCAACATTTCAAAAAATATAGCATGTAAAAACTTATTACTGGTTTCTTATCCTACTTTCATGCTATTATTTGTAAGTAGTTGCATAAATCCGATTGTCGAATTTTACACGTATTCATGCTTACACAATAGGGGAATGCTTCGATATGGTGAAGATTAAAGCTAGCAATAATACCAAAAAAGCTATCTATAATGCATATACACACATTGAACAGGTCAAGGTAGCGTCTGTGGGAACGTTTACGCGAAACAAATGCTACGGAGGCCGGAATGAAAATACAATTTGTTTCAGAATATGCAGACGTACAATGCTTCGTCTATTAACCAAAATATCAAAAATTTTTAAGCAGCTGTTTTTGAATTTTGAGGAGATTACACAATTATTATTAATTTACTTTCATTTGCATCCAGGGGTCAAGGAATTCATTCATAAAAATCACAAAAATTGTCCTATTTAGAGCTAGGGTGTCTTGAGGACTTACTAGATTAGTGGTCTTTTTTAAAATGAGCTGTGACGAAAGGTTAAAATAATAGTTTTAGCATCTTAGGGATTCATCGATTAATATGACCACTCACGAAGGAGAAGTGTAAAAACCAATACATTGTGATTTTAGTTGCCTTACATATAAAACACTTCAAAAATTCTGCATTTATACTCTTTCAATCTCGTAAAACTGTTGGACGATGCGCTTTTGTCATTAAGAAATTATGTCGATTTCTCCATAGATTGTGGTGAAAGTGTAGCATCCGAAGAGGCTGTAATGACACAGTAAGTAACCATCTAGTACCTGTGCAGTTGTCTCGTAATAATGATGGAAAAAATTATATTAAGGCCAATTTTTAGAGCGTAAAAATGAATTTCATTTGCGCTGTTTCATGTTAACAAATTTTGCATTTGCAATTTCGTATTTAGATAAATATATTATATTCAAGTTTGTAACTCACTTTAATTGCAAAAAATTTAAAAAAATTAATTGCAAAAAATGTGCTTGTTTGACAAAAATAATCTTTTTTGTTTTATTGCATTTGTTTGGTTTCTGCACATTTGAGTACCGTTGTTTTCTGTTTCGAGGATGATGCTCGGACTTGTATGTCGCTTTGCGTCTCTAATAATTTTTGTTTCACTAGTGTTCTTCGAAGAACTTTTTGAAGATCGCTAACTTTCGGCTAGCTCGTAATTTGTCGAGTGGCCAGAAAGATCTTGTTGTAATCGGCTCTGGTCCTGGTGGTTATGTAGCAGCAATCAAAGCAGCTCAATTGGGTATGAAGGTAATGTCTTTGTACAAAGTGACCTTTTAGACTGTTTGTGTTGAAAAGTACCCTACATTTGGTGGTACTTGTCTCAACGTCGGTTGCATCCCGAGCAAGTCCTTGTTAAACAATTCTCACTACTATCACATGTGTCATACTGCGGATATGGAATCCCGTGGCATCGATTTGGGCAATGTCAAGTTGAACCTAGAGAACATGATGGCTGCTAAGAAAAAGGCAGTTTCTGCCTTAACTGGAGGCATTGCTCATCTCTTTAAAGCTAATCAGGTGCTTTTATAATCATCAGAACCTTGTTTAAATTAACGAATGTCCTAATACTTTTTTCGTTCTTAGGTTGAAAGTCTTCAAGGAGTCGGTTCAATTAGTAAACCAAATGAAGTCATCGTCACTAAACCAGATGGAAGTGTTGAAGTTATTAACACTAAAAACATTCTCATTGCTACCGGCAGTGATGTTACCCACTTTCCCGGAATAACCATCGATGAAAAGCACTTTATCACCAGCACTGGAGCTCTTTCCTTGGATAGAGTTCCTGAACACCTAGTTGTCATCGGAGCAGGTGTGATTGGAGTAGAAATGGGTTCGGTCTGGAAACGTCTTGGCGCCAAAGTTAGTTGGATGTTTTTTTTCACTCCCTCTTATGTGTGTAGTGGTTCCATTTGTATTTTTTTTTTAAATTTAAGGTAACCGTTGTCGAGTATCTCGGTCATATCGGTGGAATGGGTATTGACATGGAAATCAGTAAGCAATTTGGAAAAATCCTCACAAAGCAAGGATTGGCCTTCAAATTAAACACCAAAGTTATCTCTGCTGATCGTAATGGGGAAACCATAACTGTCTCCATTGAAGGTGTCAAGGATGGGAAAAAAGATGCGGTGGGTTTTTTGTCATATAGATAATTCATTTTCCCAATTTTGTCCTTAGTGACGTCAATCATATTGTAGATATCTTGTGATACCGTCCTGGTAGCCATCGGCCGTCGCCCATATACGACTGGTTTGGGCCTGGAAAATGTCGGAATTCAGCTTGACAAGTATGGTCGTGTTCCTGTAAATAACCGCTTCCAGACATCTGTTGCCAAGTAAGTCGTTCCTCTGAATAATTTATGGTCATCTATGCGATCCTGTTCAATCGTGCGTTGCTTACTGACTATTTAGTATTGGCATCTATAACCGCTAAACTGACCACAAAAACCCCTTCGTAGGTAGCTTCCTGTTTTTGTTTTTAAACTTAAAAAGTGCCGTTAAAAGTGCATCTTTTGTAAAAGGTGTTCTAAGTTGTTTAATTCCCCCCTATTATATAGTATCTATGCCATTGGTGATGTGATCGAGGGGCCAATGTTGGCTCACAAAGCTGAAGATGAGGGGATTATCTGCGTTGAAGGAATGTGTGGTGGTAGTGTACATATTGACTACAATTGTGTGCCCAGTGTCATCTATACCCATCCTGAGTGCGCTTGGGTTGGCAAGACTGAGGAGGATCTTAAAGCCGCCGGCATTGAATATAAGTAAGTTCATTGGCTGTTAAGCTTATTACGAATTGTTCGTTGGTTCTTAGACCCCGCGAAACCACACGAATTACGTTCTTCAAGGTCTTGAAATTTTATTTGACAACTTAAACTTTCATAAGTGTTGCTCCAATTGCTCAGGATTGCAATTTAAGTGGCTTCCGGTAGCATCTGCTTCAAATCGGTATTCATCGCAAAATAGCGCGTGCTTACAAGCCCGGGCGGTCATTTGTCTTTGCTATGCGCAGGGCTTGCTGCTTGCTCCCTCTTCGCTTTGATCGTAAAGGCCAAAAAGCGATGTCCACTCAGCGATTACTTTGTTCGCCTTGAGAGTAATTGTATGTCTATTGGATTAACAAGCGTGTTACCTGCTATGAATCTGCTACATTATTGTGGCTGCGTAGTTAAATTCGGCAAAAAATATCATGCAGAATCTTTACACTGACACGTTGATGCGTTGCTTCTTTCGTAAATGCTGTCTTAAGCACTATCTTGTCTATTTCGTGGGTTGCCTCTGTACTTGTCGGTTTGCGTTTTTTATCTGTCTTAAATCCATATTTGCGAATTTATATCTCACTCTCACAGTACTCGAATAAGTGGAAGCAGTAATTCTTTATCTTTCTGACAGCGTATTCTCATGAATTCTTTAAACCACATTACGCTGTCGTTAACAAACCCCACAAATTCTACTGTCTCATTGTGTGCTAACACTGATACGCGTACTCCTTTTTCGTCCTAGAGTCGGTAGGTTCCCAATGTCTGCCAACTCACGCGCTAAGTGCAACAACGAGTCAGAGGGTCTTTTCAAAGTCCTTGCTGACAAAAATACCGATAAAATTCTTGGTATCCACTTGCTCGGTCCACAAGCTGGTGAACTCATCAACGAGGGTGTTCTCGCTATGGAGTACGGTGCTTCGGCTGAGGATGTCGCTCGTGTCTGCCATGCTCATCCTGTAAGTTGGCTCATGCTTGCCTATTTTCGTCAGGTTAGGGATATTCGGCACTAGATCCCAGATGCGTCTGGAATCGTTTTCATTTTTTGATCAGTCAGGTTTTAGACGATTCATGAAATTACGATCTGACGCCTATTCTAACAGTCATTTTTTTTCGTGCAACTGTACGACCTGATCTTGAATGACCCAAGGCGTCTAAAGTTTCATTAACCTTCTTGTAGACCGTCAGTGAAGCCCTTCGTGAAGCCAACACAGCAGCTTCTTTCGGCAAGGCAATCAACTGTTAATCACAACTCCGGTCAATGCGCTTTTGTAATATTTTAGCAGCATCTGTCAGCTGCATTGTTATAACATTTTGCTTCAATGTCTCTTTGTACTGCGAAACCCCCTTGTTAATACTCTAATTTCGTAAGCGGAGTTAATTTACCAAAGAAATAGTTGCCAACGTCATGTACATTTTTCCTGAGCGATAGTTGGGGGTGGGGAACCGACACATCGATGGGCTTTTCAAAAGTTGGCTGATCTGTCCGCGTAATACATTGAGTTTCTGGAAGTGTTCGATTGCAATGACAGTAAGAGCCATTGGCAGTTAACTGCACAAGATCTGAGCATTTGATAAACTATCCTAACGTTTCTCAGACCCCCGGTCCTGCTGACACAGTTCGTCAGACGAACTGTATGTTCCAAGCTAGGTATTCACTTATCAGAGCACGAGATTAGCCGATTAATTATTCGTTTACCCTGCAATACCATTGGTTTGAGGGATCTCGTGGCTGTTCCAACGTGGGTTTATGATTCTGTTTTGACTTCGAAACTGCAAAGTTATTTACGGATTAGAAAGTATATTGGAAAGAATTTTCTGCTTGTTATTAAAAATGCCTTCGTTCTCTTGTGTGGATTATCGTTTACTGGGTTGATGTTTGTTCACTGAAAGTATGTAAGACGATTGGCTTTTCAACTCAGCTCGGGACTTCCATGCCACATTGTCTCCTTCGTCGGCTTCAACTAGAAAAATAGAAGCATTTGTGTCTAAGAAATAGGAAGTTGGTGCGCGGGTTCACTTTACAAAACTATACCTTTCCGTGAGGTGTCAAAAATACTAGGCGTTACTCGCTGGTTGTTCATCGGGATTTTGTTTTCGATGGAATTGTGGAACTGAAGCAACAAGAAGTTCCGATGTTACGTCACTCGGTTGGGATTTGTAGCACAGATCTCACTTAGAAATTTGAAGCTGGTACTGGCGGCTGATTAATTTTAAGTTTCTTGGTGGTTGGAAACTTTGGCAAATTACGAAATATGAAATTCTTAGCACAAGAAGTATGTATTAACCTATGTATGGACTGAATTTCTAATCCACTTTCAGTCTTTTTTGTTGCTTAAGTTTATCTGAAATCTACACTATTCTCGTTGAATCACCGTTTTTTGGGTATTTGCGTATAATTTCGTTTAGTATGGAACTTATGTGGAGAAATGGATGGGTGGCGCCAAAGCGTAATTTTCTACTCCTCGAGAAGGTTCAAACAAAATCTGTTGAGGCGGACAGAACCTTGGTGCCATGGTACATTAGCCAATGGATGTCGGTGATGCTGCGTACCGGCGTCTTGTGCTCTGCCTCAGCTTGAAGTCTGTCATTATTAGCGCGAGAACATGGTCGTCTCACAAACCATAAAACCCTTTAGAAGCCTAACAGCAAATAAGACAAGATTTGATCATTTGCATGCCAGTCAACCTGATCAATAACTGAATATCCATTTTGCTAGGAATTATAACCTGTTCTGGATAGCAGCTCGACTTCGACAAAATGCAACTGCGGCAGATGGTCAGTCATGGTGAACTTTCAGGTTATACTGGAGTCAAAGTAGTGAGGTGGACTGCAGGCTGTGATACTTAAGAGTCATTGTTGATTCGAGGAATCACATTGATAATTCGCCACAAAGCAATTTTCTTTCTCTCTGGAATGGTCAAGTTCATGTCTAGCAAATAACTTTGACTTTAAGGACCCGGTGCGTCATTCATATTCGCATGTGTTCCCTCACTAACGCATCAAACAAACACGTAATAAAACCCCTGGAACTGTGCGTGAATCCAAAAGGACGTGATTGCTCTGAGATAGTGACCTTGTCGAAAGAGAGTTCTGTAGTTCCTTGTGAAAAAATGCATTAGTAAAAGGATGTTGGACATAATTTGAAAAAGCGAGTTTCCCCATTTTGAGTGGAACGTATTATGATTACTACCACAACCACAAAAAAAAACAAAATATCAAAAACGGGTGTTTAAAATGTACCACACGTATTAGCTTTTAGACTACCTTATAAATTGAAAACTCGTTGTCTTTTTTATGGTGGAAAGAAATGGGGATGAAGAAGGTAAGCGCTTAAATTTTGATTCTTTCCGCATAAGCGGATTAGTCTGCGACTGATTAGTTCAAATATGTCGACGCTAATTGAACGTATAGCGTCTTTAGGGAACCACTGAATATTGATTTGCAGATTCCAATGAGTGTGCTGATTTCACCTACATTTTTAACTTGAGGGACGTAATTCACGAAAACTAAGCACCTACAATTTTATGAAGATTACGATTCATTTCTCTACTAGGGTAAAATTAATTTCTAGCATTTTACAAAGCAACTAACTCACGGAATACCCAAGGTCTCTAACACAACTACGTCCAACTCTATGTAAATGTACAGACGTCATATAACTACGTTGACAAGTATTTGTCATTGTATTGCATTTGAGTAAGCTTGTACTTTTCTTCTTAAGGTGCCACAAACACTAAAGAGTTGACCCACGGTTTTTCCCCTGACATGAGTTGGAACCAACAATGCATACATCCTCAAACTCGGAAAAATCACAAGTGACAAAAATGACTATAAATGGACCTACTTGCTCTCCCGTGCAATCTTGAGCATTAAAAACTTACTTCTTCAGTGCTAATTAGCCTCATACTCTGAAATAAAAGCAAACAATAATTTGGATTTAGGATAAACCAAAAGAAGGCTATATCTTTATATTTTAAAAACCCATCAAATTTATTAAAACAAGTGCATATGCAAAGTGAACCGACATTAATATACTTCGAAGAATAATAGGATTGTTCCACAGGTGTAGCTGTTAACTAACCTTTTCGAGATTCATATTGGATATTTCTGATACCAAGTCGTAACCATCTAGATCGTTATCCAATTGGTCCTGGTACTCCATGCACTGGAGCATAATATCTGGCAAGTTGATCTCAGTCAAATGCTTGAGAATTACTGCAGCCTGCTTTTTGGCGCTTTTTGTTGTGCTTGGAGTCATTTGTAGCTTCACATAAATGTGCTCAATAGCTAAACGCGCATACGTTAGCTGTTGTCTCAGTCGGTTCAGCTCAGCCTGCATCGAGTTCTTCTTTTCAATGAGCGCGTCCATGTGGCCTTGTTTTCTTTCATGGGCTGAAATCCTTTCCATTTTGACAGAGAATAAATTAACAAAACGAAGATAAAGTTGGTGTGCTACATATGTAGAAACGGTCAGTAGACCAGTGTCTGTTTTTGGTGACTCTGTAAGTACCCCAAGTAGCCCAGGGCACCTCTAGGTCGAAATTCAAGAACTTAGAGTCGAGCAAATAGATGATTTTATCAAACAGGACAAATTACTTCTAAGCCATGATTCAGATTTAAGTTCCCTAATGGGCTTTGGGTTAAGTGAATTAAGTTCCTAGTAAATATTTAAGACTTAAGCAACAACAGTTTTGCTGAAGGCCACAAACACGCATTAACAGCGTTTCCACACTTTTATTTCCCTTAGGAGTCGATATCACTAAATTCACGCCTGGTATTTTTCTAGATACTAATAAAACTCGACTCCAGAGCGCGTTTTGCGATAATTTGACAAAACAGGAGGGTAATGATTTGTGTAATCGAATCCGATGCCTCTGAATGCTAACCCCTTTCATGCAAGTCGTTTTGAAAAGCCTAATCCACAAAACCCACTTACTTAGAGAGTTTGAAGTCACCAATGCTTTTCAGTTCGAGGTAGGCGGCCTTTAATTGGTCATTTTGATCCTGGAGAGACTTTTGTTTTACCTCTGCCTCTTGGGAAAGTTGTCGGAGACTGGTGGTTGAATTTTCAAGTTGGACAAACATCTTCTCCATGTCGTTATGATTCGAGACACCAGTCACTGACTTCAATTCCTTGTACACGTCCTCGAGACTAGCCATCAAGCCCTGCTCGTCTGTTACAGTAGGATCATCACCCGTCAATTGTTCGTTCTCCTGGCGTACGAATGCTTATTTTACTAATTCTTCTACCTCATGCACAATTGGTGTGATTTGGAGTATTATGTCACTGCACCAAATATGGCCTAACCATAACTGCAATCAATGACAAAATATGAATTTTGAAAAGATGTTCATTTATGCTCATTCTAGAAGGATGTGTTTACATATCACTTTAGTTTTGTGCTTTATCCAATTCTAACTAATGTCTGGTAGTGATTACATCACATTTTCGCAGATTTTCAAAACACAAAAGCTCCATTATAAAGCTTAAGTATTTGAACATTAAAAACTAAGGAAAAGCGTTTGATAGAAAGGATTGAGGAGCTTTGGGACCAGTGCGCAGCTGAAATCCTTCGAAGAAGGCCCGTCAAGTACCAGCGCTTGGCAGTGGTCCACGCTAATTGCTTTAACATGGGATGCGACGGAACTAATTTTCGCGGTTTACTTCCTGTCGTGGTTAGTTCTTTAGTTGTTTAGAGGACAATGTACTCACAAATAGTTCACAAAATTTCAAACGGATTTTAATTAACTGAAATTCTCAGGACGTAAAAGCAAATAAGACCACTATTAAATTGTCGGTTGCCCTAAAAAAGGGCAGAACTTAGATTACTTTGTTTCGAGAAAAATCAAATAGTTTTTTTCTATGTCATATAGAACATTTTGTGCATTAAACTTTTAGTGCCATACTATGAACACGGATTGCTTTCAAAACAAGCCTCAATTTTACTTTAGGTCTAAAGATACCTACAGAAATTTCCCGTGATCATAAATACATTTACAATCCCATTGAGACAAATTTTACTCAGCTGGGTGGAGTAACTCAGACGTCAGATCTAACTTCAGCCATTATTGCCAAGTTCCATTTGCAAGTGTGGTCAGACCTCGTTATGTGGGACACAGCACCACTTCCTTAGGTAAACCCAGCTGATAATTTTGTCAGCCGTGGTGAACTTACAAATTTTACTGTAATGAAATCACTTTTCCTTGTCAGTGATTTGGCTTCCGAAAAAAAATAATTTTGTTCTGTCTGGGTAAATAAACACCAATGGGATCTCGGTGAAAGAAAGTTTTCTTGTTCGACTGGTGAGGCATCCAAGTGCTGCCTTTCTCGGCTTTACTGACTTCTCAAAGCCTTAATGACACAAGTTTTTGTAATACTTCACCACGTTTGCGGGTCGTAAGATGCAATCATCACTAGTCATGGTCATGCCTGTGTTGAATGCACCTCCATTGGGACAATCCAAGTCCTGGCCTTCAACTTTGAACAATTTAGTGAGGTGGTGAAGCTCAAGTGAAGTCAAGCACACAAGAAACTTTGCTTTGGTCTTAAAAAGATTATCAACTTAAAATAAAAGATCACTTGTACTCTTACTTCTGATTTGTCAATGGCATCCTCAATCTAAAAAGCAAAATCAATAATTTATGCCCAGATTTGTGGATATTCAATACTAGGACATATTACAACGACATCATCCAATGTCAACATAGGGTTTGCCAACTCGTAGAAAGCCGCATGTGTCAACCTGCTGATATCTGTTTTCTTCGAGATTTTAAGTAATGTAATAAAACAAATTGGGGTTTGATGGCAATCCATGCTTTCGTTATGCGGTCATCTCACCAAATATTTTAATCACAACAGTGCTTTTCCTGCCTATCCCGCTAGATTTCGATCTCCTGTTAAACAACTTAAAACTAACATTAAGGCTAGTACAGAGACCGTTTTTGACTAGTTAAAAATGAATGTTCGAACGTTACTAACAACGAGAGCCTTCATGGGCGTTGGTTGCTCCTTGTATGAGTCCAGCATCCGTCTCATGTTAAGGAGCTCGAGTTCCCGTCTTTTTTGGTAGGCGTACAACAGCTCCTCAAGACGTCTCAGCTCACCCAGTGTCTCGTCCCTTTGGCGCACGGCGTCGATGCAGACCTCCTTGAGTTGTTTCAATTTGACACTGCACCGACGAATCTCCGCCTCCATTGACTCAAGTGTTGGGCCGTAAGTCGAGCGTTCCTGTGTTATAGAAACATGATTTTGACCTGTTTTTTTCCAAAAAAAGCAATTATACAGTGTGAAACTTGACAATGAGGGTTCGAAAAACCCTTGCCACATCGATAGTGCAAGTAAAACACAACAGAGTTTCCTGTCGAATGACGCTTGACTTCTTGATTTAGTTTTCAGCTCATGTAATTTATTGACTTGCAAGCGTGTTGGGTGGCATGAAGGTCACTGTAAGACGGCAACTCACTCCTTTAAGTTTATCTTTGATGGCTTCGTAGGCGTGCCCTACGTGAAGTGCTTCTGTTGCTTTCATGTTCGCCTTGTCCAGATTATTTTCCAAGGTGCGAATAAACTGCATTACTTCCAGTTCTTTTGGGGAGAAGAATGAATAGCCATCCATTCGATCTTTGACTGCTCTAATCTTCTGCTCCACATCAGCAAGTTTCTTCAATTTAATGCTAAACGCAATAACGAGGAGGATGAACTCAATTGTTACGTTCACAAATGGAGGCCGCGGTGTTGATTATGCGGGTCTTTTTAATTATGTAATTTGACTTTAATATACAAATTATATTTCTTAAAACACGTTTTTGATTTCAAAGCCATTTGAAACATCGTGTCAGACAAATTAGTTGATAAGACAGAGAACCACAAGACCGATTAACGCAATTGATGAAATTGGTGTTTTCTTCAATGCATACGATACTAATAATTCTTACAAACTCACCCTAGGAAAGGGATTTAAAATAACTCACTCCGTAAGATGACGCAGATCATTGAGTGCATTCTGCTTGCTTGAAACGTCATAATCCATTTCTAGCAAAACTCTCTAACGAATTGGATAATAAAGTAAATGCATTTTGTTTACATCAACAGGCAAATTCGACATTTTAGTGAGATTTTCCTTGGTCTTTTGAAATGCCTGATCCATTATTAGCTCCGATGTCTTCAAAAAGGAACTTCGTAGGAGTAAATTGATAAATATTATCGCAATCTATGTTAACATCACTTACATCCACATGATCGTTATACTCGTAGCGAAGATCTCTAATTTCGTTCCTAAGTTCATAGATTTTAGCCTTGGCCTCATTAAGATAACGAAGTGAAGCTTCTTGATAGGCCTTTGCGTCACCCTCTAGATAACACTAGGAGGAAATCAATACTGAGACAGAACATTGATAATAAATGTGGTAAATGACTACAAATTTCTCTCCCGTCCAGGAAGCCGTAAAATCAAGAATGTCCGACTTTTGACAAGTGAAGAATTAAAAAAATAAATATTGTGGACCAAACACTGGGTCTTTTACGGTTCACAATACTCAAGTGCTAGTTGTTCATATTCTTAGCGTAAATTTCCAAGCTTTCGTATGGTTGAGATTTTATAATTATTTTAAGTATATTTTACACCTAAAATCAACACCTCCAATGTCAAATGGCGGTAACCAATCTACAGTTCCCCAGTACGTATAATAATATAACATTACCAAGAATTTTAAGGTTTGTTCTCATCTCTTCTATTTGTTCCACAAAAGGCTGCATTTTGGAAACGGTTGTCATGATTTAGTCCAGAATCCTTGCAATGAAAAACACGGAGGTAGAACGCCTTTTCAAAATCTTACTAATCGATACATTTTATTATGTGGATTTTAAAGCAATTCCATTTCATGAAAATGTGATAAAACATTGACCTGAAAATGCAACATCCCAAATTCGACCCAACAATGTAGAACTGTAGGAGTGGTGCCCAAACCCGAAAAGAGACCACAGCTTACGAGGGAGATTAAAACTCGGCCGCTCTGCGCAGAGTAGCGATTTAAGACTTATGAATGCCATGGAATCGAATAATTTAATTACTACTTACACCCCCTGTGTCAAGCGATCCCGGTTGGTTCACATTAATTCTAATTTCAGTTCGCACCACTCCCTACTCATGCCTGTGGCCCACGTATGCACCCACAAACATGGTGATTTAACTAGACAAAAACCATCTCGCTGGTGTCCCAACGGTTGCTTTGCGCAGGTCTGCAGCCCGGGGTGGAGTTGACTCAGCGACGCGGGTGAGTAGACGTGTGTCCAAATAGGTTTATCGCTAGTGCATTAGTGTCTGCCACCCACCCCCGTTGTTCACACGACCTCGTAAACACGGACAAGCACATGTTGACACATCAGGCCTGGCGGGTGAATATCCAATTGAACTCACTTCGTCGTGTCGCCTCCACACCACATTCTTTGTTACCGCGTTCGATAGGTGTTAACAAACAGTGGAATCGCAATGTGGTACCCTAACAGCCTCAGGGGCATTGCTCGTGGTCACAAACTGAAATCAACTGCTCATTTCGTTTTGCAACAATACTTAAATAGCCTTTAGTTTTCGGTGCAAATGCTCTATCGATTTCCAGGGTTTTAAGCGTGTTCGAGCCAAATCGTCTTTCACGCTTAGCTTCCAATGGACCTAATAACTTATTTTACATAGAATTATTGTAACCATTATAGGCGTCTGCTTTTTTTCTCGTTATGCTGAAGCTCGAGCCAAAAATTCGCCTGCAGCTGGTTTGACTGCCTCGCGTGTTCGCGTGACGCGGATTAAGTTTTGCTTGAACCGGAAATTGGCGTGCGGCATTACGTTGCTGGAGCCAGGCACCGGGTTCATGGACGCGTGCAAATCCGAAAAGCCGATTGTACAGCCGTGTGTGTGTGCATTTGTACACGAACACAACTTCAGTTTAATAAGTTTTGAGCTGATTTTTTTGTTTTCGTTCACCTACCTTTCTTAAACATATAGCCATAAAAGGTTGTTTTTTGTTATACAAAGGTGAAAATATAGATTGAAGAATCCTTCAAGTCAAATACAAAGTAACATTCAACATTTTTAAAGGCTTTCGTGCAATGGGAACGAAATTTGCATGAACCACCTCAACACAATGTGAAGAAACTAACGCTTTCTACTTGCACAGGCTGCGTCTTTGGCAAATGTTCAGATTATACTGACGCAGTAATAGCAGAGCATCAAACAGTGATGCTACCGGCTTCAAGTCTTGTGATAACAATACAGTCTCCACAGCATTTATTGTGCCACGGTGACTACTTACCGTTTCAGTCCATCGAATAATGGATGAAAAAGGAATACTCGCCTAGTAAGGCGATCCATAATCTTACAATCCACAAACACTGACCGAATAAAGGAGCATTCCAAATTTACAGTGTGGAAGTCTAGATTTCTGTGGCCACAAAGTTTGAGTCGATAAACGCAGCTTAGCAAAGCACTTATTAGAGGGAATTGGTTGCTAACTAAAATCATACATTTGTAATGAGCTGTAATGTGGCTTAAAATCGAGAACTAATAATGAAGAAAGTAATTCCTTAGCAGGAAAATTGCCTTACAATGATGCAAACACAATTAATTTTACAAACATTTCCTAAAGCAAACTACGTACGGTTAAAATTAAAAAAAAACATATATGTTCCTAGAAAAATATCTATAAAATAAACCACCTAATTTTACAAATGGGTTTTCTCATGACGAGACGGAGTCATTATTCCATTGTGGCTCACAGAGTTAAAATTGTCTTTAAACCAAGATATTAAGACAAATTACATGCGAGATACCCACATTTATTTGATCGTGTGTATCAGAATCTAATTCACAATACCAAGGAGAAAATCATGTACCGGATGTGAAGAGCGATGCACCCACGGGGCCAATTCGTTACTTTTGTTAGCTACCTTCAGTGTCATAAAAAGCGCGTGATACACGTACCGGATTCAAATAGTAGAATAGGGAGGTCATGGTTCAAGAAGAGTTCAATATTTAATGCTTTAATTCGTTCTCTTCGCCAGAAATGACGTGACTTTTCAGTGTCGGTGTAGCCTTTGGTATGTTCTTGATGCAGGCAGAATATGCGAGGCGAGCTGCCTTAACGCGTCCGGTATATTCGGGTAGACAAAGCTATGAACCAATAGAAATTTGGCCGGTAAATCATTAACTGGAATGAAACTTCGATGGGTATTGTTTGGTAATGCCAGAAAGCGGCCAGATGTGATAGAAATTAAACAATAAAAAAATTGAGAAATTCATTTGGATAAATATTTTCTTAAAAGTAAACTTTCGCCCATTTTTACGCCAGTGACGTAAAAGCATTGGACAAGTTTCTAATGTCTTTTGACCTCAGTCTCAATGTATGGCATAGTTCAAAGGTAGGTGCATGGACCTGTTTCGTCATCTTATAGACTGCCTGTTGCTTTAAATGTTTGGTACTATGTGTAAGGGTGACAAAATTTAGCCGAGCTGGTTGCTCCAAATTAAATGCACCCAAATACATTCCAAAGATTGTCACACTCAATTAGCTCACCTGTCAGCGAGAGAAGTTTAAAAGCGGTAAGGTAAACGATGTAGGAGAGGTTTAGCTTGAGCCTCCAATCACGAATTATACTTAAACTATAATGTGTGAAAAAACAACGAGCAGTATGCCTCTCACACGATTCGGTGTTTGCTCAAACATCTAGCATGTTTATTATCCTTGTAGCTTTAACTTGAGTCGTGGCCCATTTCAAGAGATACAGGTGAAAACAAGAACAGGTTGTCGAAGGCAGCACCCCCTAATAAGCAAACCAGTTTACCACTGTTGGAGATTTTCTGCCATTGACATGCATATGCCACACGTCAAAATAACTCTACCGCAATGAACAGTTATGGATGAGCTGGACTATTTACGCGGCGAGGAAGCAGGTCCGAAAGTAGCCCACTAATTGATCATGGAGCGTGACTTGCCATAAAGACAAAAGACGGCGCTATGATGCAAAAATTGAGCACAGCAGCGCAACAAAACTATTCAGTTAAAAAATCAACCTTCTACACATATTTTCCACTTTTTTGCGCCACCTTGTGGGTGGTTAGATATTAAAAGAGCATCACTTTTGTTCGAAGCAAACATTTAGTGCTATACTGCTAAATTTACATCTATTCATTTCACAATTGTTTACCAATTTTACCAAAGGGCCATTTAATTTCATTGCCGTTCTAAAACTTTTATTATATAGCCAACTAATGGTGATTGCGTGCTAATGCTATTGTACTAGTCAATCTTCCTACCACAATGAACCGATTTTTAGAAAATACAGGAATTTCATAAATTTGAGAATACAATTTTGTGCAAATTTATGTCAGACGCTTTTCCAGCATCTTATTCAACGCAAAATTTTTAAGTAAGCAAAGCATAAATGCTGTGGTGAGTATTTACCGAAAACGATAACCTCAGATAGACAGAGTCATCGGCTGCTATTAGGAAACTAAAACATGGGATCCTAGAGTAGTTCCCCTAAGACAGGGTCCAGAAAATTGAGGCAATAGTTGTTGGAACCTAATTTGTACGTTTATAAGCAAAATATGGCACAAGAGAATCCAATTTGCTGTCGTGTTAACTGACCTTCTTTGATCCATTGAACATTAAACTCGTTCAGGTTTACAACAGGTAACAAACACTGAATCAAACAGTTTCATTTTTGCATCAAAAGGGTAAATTAACGTACATTTATTGCATCCGAGCAAATAAATATGTGATTATTAACAAGTTACCAAGTTCAGTTTATTCCCTTCAAGATGATGAAATTAACTAAATTTCACTGTAATATTTTGGTTCTGTTGCCCTACCTTAAACTACATCATCTTCAGGTGCAAAAGTAACGATCGTTATTTACAGTTGGTCTCCTATAGCTTTAAACTGTCACACTGACACATACCAAAAAGTCTTTTCTTAATCATTGATTTATTTCAAGCAAAAACTTGGAAGCGGATGTTGTTTTTCCACCAGCTTATTACTACAAAGCACGGCCAAAGTGCATGTGCACTGCTTTTCCTGTTTCCAAAAAGGGCTGCTGAACCATGTCTTGTAGACTTGAGTCACCCAAGGGAATCTTGATAGTTCCAATAAGCACAAACATTTCAAATATGTCAAGAAAAACTAAACTTTAGCCACAAAAATGAAGAGGCTCTAGTGGATGTACTTATACAAGCCTCAGCGAGCGTTCTTTAAGGCAGAAATGGAGTGGACCTCAACAAAATTGCAGCATTCGACCATTAAGGTAGTTGCGTTCTGCCAGCACCGTACTTTTCGTGTATACTGCTACAGAAACAAAACGGATACTCGCGAACCAGCTTCATCCACAGTTTGTAAGTAGTAAAATACGTGTGTCCAATAAATCGACCAACTGGGCATTACTACCAGTTCAAGAAACTGAGGTTTAGAGGTAGACCACGCACTTTCTAGACGTTTACAGCGACGGAGAACCCAAGAAGGAACTTTAAATGACGAATTAACCTACCCACTTTTCACTTGGATAAGACATGCTTAATTTGCCTATTGTGCAGAAGTGTTTCGAACCGGCTCAATAGGTAGACAAAAAAGCCGCCAAGTGCATATGTACTTTGTTCAAATTTAAGAGTTCTTTTTAAAGTAGACTATTTAGAACCATTTCCGAACAAAGAGCACTGAGAAGTATAGAACCCCACACACTAAAGTAGATTTCGATTGATAATCCTTTTGTAAAACTAAAACTTGCTAAAAAGATTAATGGGTCTTACTGGAGAGAGCCCACCCCCACCAACGCGCGGCAGCACCACCGATAAGAACCAGACGGTGATTCAGTTGATAAAATCATTTGTATAAGTAAAGGGGGAATTAAGCGCATGATTTGTGGGGGTTCTGGGATGTAGGAAATAAAGTGCTGTACAGTGCCAAACACTCGCGATCACCCTCAGTCTGCTGGAAGTAGTTCAACTGAAAGCTCCATGGCGCCAGCTCGAGGAGACATGTGATCGTTGCCATCGCCAGTGCCTGGTGTCAGGGTCTCTGCCACCGCGCTTCGAATGCTTGGCATTATGCGCTCGACGAGTTTTGCCACGGCCAACTGCGAGGGGTCCTCGGAACGCAGGACGTTGGAGCTGGCGGAGGAGAAGGCTGCCTCCATGTGAAGGATGCTCCTCAGCCTCGCGACCCGCCAATCCAACTCAGTCAAGAAAAATTCTCGACTTAAGGAGACGACATTTTTGTCATTGATAGAAGCCAAGTGATCAGCAGCTGCGTCTAGAGCTTCACGGACGTTCGACAAAAAATTGAGGGCTGATTGGGAGTCTGAGGTGGAGGTTGAGAGGTTCGATGAGCTCTAGAGCATTCGTAGACACAAAACAAATCAGACCTCACGACCGTAACAATCACGCAGAATGATGCGTGCAAAAATTACTTAGTGCAAACTAATTTAAGTAAACTGCAGTCCATAGTGGCGACAAAGGGCAAAGTGTGAGGATACATCACCGATGAGGACCTGACATCTGAAGGTATACATCAATAAGGATCCAATATATCGATTTTTCAGTTCTATTTTAGTTACCATTTATAGGGCGATTATTATTTTGAATTTCGGTAGGAACACGCAGTACGACAAGAAGCTTTCGAGAGGAAGTTTAACGACTAAAAAGTGAACCAACGCAGCACAACACAAAGAAGGGCATTTTCTTTCCATGGAGGAGAAAGCGGTGAGAGGTGGATTTACTTATTCGAGAAGCAATGGGCAAATGCTCAGTTTAAATCCTATAATACCAAACCAAAATTATTAAAACCAATCCTTAAGCATTAAATGAAGCCGTTCGAAGAGTCGCGGTTCTGTTTGGATTCTGAAACTAATTTCGGCACGAAGCGCAAACAGACAGTTCTAAATTGATCAGGACCCCACGTACATTATCATCGGTTTCTGAAAGACTGTCACGTTCACCATGACCGGAATTGAGGTCTTTTGATGCAACAGATTTCGGATCATCACTGACTGCAAAAGGCCTCTCTTCTTGAAGCCTTCGCCGAATTAATGGCCTGTGACCAAGCGCCGCGCCATGGTTTTCGCTTGGTCCGCAGAACGGGGTCGCAGCGTCGCCGGTGTCCGACTCCAGCCAGCTCGCCCTCGCCGAAGACGGTCGCCCAGGTTCGCCAATCACCATTTTTTCCAGCTGCGAAGAAAAGTAGAAGCTGTATGCGCAATTAAAGGGAAAGGATAGAGCAGTATTTGTAGAAGGTGAACTACTTCGTTGTCACAAATTTCCTCGACTCGACTTAGTTTCGTGTGGTAGTCGTCAAACGAAGGGCGGCCGCCTTGAAGGCTGTTGCTGAAAAGTTAAAGATTCCACACACACAAACAGGCTTTCACTGCTTAAAGCAATTTGAGAAAAAAAAACTACATTTGGAGTTCGTTGAGACGATCTGCACCAGTAGTGGATGACTCGGTTGACGGACCCAAATTTTGGGGACAAGATGTTGGCTCCCGCTGAAAAAATGAAAAAATTAAATCACATTTCTACGAGATCCACAAATTGAAAGTAAGGATAATTTATTATGGCTACAATGAACAAGCATTTTTTATTCTAGAGATTTGCTAATTGGCTCAACGCAATGACCTACCGAAAAGTACTAAAGGCCGCGTCAAAATCAGCAACCCTTAAAGATATGCGCCTACGGAAAAACCTGACCTCCCTAAACACACCAGCTTTCTAAAGCCATTACAATCTATCATATAAAAACACTTATTTCTGAACAGGAAACCATTTTTAAGCTGCCATAATGAAGGTACCAAGGGGATGGTTTGATCGTCCTTCGCGACAGGAGGCTCGAAGGGACTCGCTTCGGCCAAATTCACTGCGCTCGAAGCCCATCGAGGAAAGGTCCCGCTGGACGTCATGGCTGCGCTGTCCGAGTCTTCATCAGTACAAACGCTTGAAGATCGATGTCCTAAGTAGGTGCAACCGCGCCCAAGGCTACCGCAGCGACTTGCACCGATGGTCCGATTGCGTTGGCGCTTCGTTGTTAACTTTAGCTTTGAGCGCTCGCTATTCGATCTGGCTACGTTGTGGGTACGAACAGGGGCTGGGGTCAGACTTCCAGTTAAGGAACGCTTGACTTTCCGTCCGGGTACGGTGTGGCAATCTGATGATTCGGTGTCAGACTCGGAGAGATGCTGTTATAAGGACAAGGCAAAGAAACCAGTTCTTTCAAGACGCAGAGCGTGTTTGTATTAATCTACGTATGGTTTTCGGGGACACAAGAGAAGCAGTCAATTCAAATGCCGCAACGGCAATTTCACCAGGATTAACTGTAGCTGCAAAATTTGCTTGAAGACTAGGTCAAATGATCACACAACTTCGCTATCACCTTGGCAGAGGTTGGCTATTAGCCACAGTTTAGGTTAAAAGTTACTATGGGCAACACATAAGGAAGTAAAGTCCTTTTGATTCCACTGTTTGGTTACCCTTGATATCAATTAGAAGGATAAAGGGGAGCAACAAAATTTTCAAATGTGACAATTACTAGGAGAAATCCAAGACAGGTGCAAATCACATCATACCTTTTCACGGGCCCAGGAGGGAAGATCATTTTCGTTGTAGCAAAACGTGCGCGTTGAAGCCTTTAGATTTTCGCCAACACTAGCACTCGTTCTAGAACACAAGCATTGGGAACTGGTGAAAATACGAACAACGTGGTAGTAAGACAATGGAGTGGGCTTCGGCGGCTAACGTCTTAGCGTAACCCCCTTCCAGGTGAGGCGTGGCAACAGCACCGCCGCCGCCGCCGCCGCCGCCGCCGCGCACCACCTGGACAAAGGACCTCAGTCACGGGCGTGCCAGTGGAGCAAGCCCACGCGTAGTGCACCCACGTGTAAGTAGGGGGCAGCATCATGCAAAGACTTAGGGATATTAATTCCCAGGAAATTATTCCAGTTCTCTTAGGAAAGCAGCACTGTGGAGAGCGAGATGACAGTCTTGAATATTACAAATGCACTGAAAAGTGAGACACGGAAGCCGACTAGAAAAAAAATTAAGAAAAAAACTTTCCAATAAGATTTCGAACCCATTTTACCACACATATGAAAGAGGTTAACACATACATGATACATGGGCCCACAGATGCTATCACAATATCCACACTAGTGGTAACAGAAACCCTCGCCAGGAAAGCCTTCGCTGATGGTTAGTAAATACTTGTAAGACAATTCACAACAATGCAACAAGTCTGATAATTAGTGCTTACAAAGGATCGGCGGAAGAAAGGCACTCGTTGGTGGGAGATGCCTCCAAACTGGGAGCTCGAGCAGGCAAGGCAGCCGCAACCCGCAGCTGCCTGTCAATCATGAGCGCAGTCAACTCGGGAGCGAGGCGCCACACAAAGACACAGGAATCGCAAGACACGCTGACGAGATGTCGAAGATCCGGCAAGAAGAGGAGGCTCATCACCACGTCCGCGTGGCCATTGAGCGTGGCGATGTGCTCGCCAGTGAAGAGGTGGAAAAGGTTGATCTGTTTGTCCGAACCTAGTGGGTGAAAATGGACGCAGGAGACGTCTTAGCGACATATTGGCCTTAAGAATTATTAATCAACCGAAGACGTTGTTTTTTTGGAAGTTAATATAGTGCTGCTACGAGTGTTACCAGGTCGTTTATCCCTCAGTGAATACAAACGCGAAATGGATGGTGCTCACATGCGACGCACCAGCAGATGTTCGTTAAATTTGGTCAAACATCACACAACAGTAAACATGAGATTTTTGTGACTAAGTTTCTGTCCTACAATCGAGTCAAAAGTGTCATCTGCAATGTCAGTTCCAGGGTAAGAGCAATCTAAGTAGCAAGGTGAATGTTCCATCTCCAACATGCCTACCGATGTCCTCCTTATGCTAATTTTGATAATGGCAGTCCCATGATTAAATTGCATCAGACAGAGGGTTACAAGCTTTGGATTGTAGGGGTCGCATGCTGGGTCCCGATAAGCAGGCCTACGAAAGATACTAAAATCTGCACTGCAACAAGAAAGTACCTGCAGTAGCTACTAACGTGCTTGTGGGATCAGCAGCACAGCAAACGGGTGCGCCATCTTCGGAGGTGCTGGCGCGATAATTGAATAACTGTCGAGCTTTATTTACTCGGTAGAGTCGCATCTGCCTGTCCTGGCAGGCCACAGCCAGGTACTGGCGCAGACGCGACGGTGCCGTGGCATTTAGGCTGGTCGCGTCGAGGTTGGGGGCAGACGGGCCAACCACGGTTGCGCATGCGTAAGAATGCGTTACGGAGATGTGATGATCGATCACAAACCGGGCTGTCTGGCTTTCTGGGTCCAACTACGCGGCAGAAATGGAAGTGACTTAGCGGTCGTGGGTGAAAAGCGAGATTTCGGGGGGGGGGAGGGGTGGGGCTTGAATATTTTTTGACCCAACCCGTGGATGGTTCAAAGCAATTTAGGCGACATAGCAGGATTAAGATACCAACAATGAGGGCATGATTTGCCTTGGTATGTTGTCATTTAAATGACGAAGCCTTAGGATTAGAAACCCTTCATTATGGGCCACTGCGCAATTACCGAAACCATGACATGCCTGTGAAAGTGTGCATTTGACAGCGTGTGGCCAGGGAAACGCTCAGCCCAGTTCAGGCTCAAGACGCAGATAAGTGAAGAGACATGAGGAAGCGGCAAACACCGAAGAAAATTCATGGTAAAAACAATATTCCAATAAGGAGATCAACAATGGTGGCAGCACAATTTGAAAGTAAGTGCCAATATAAAAATTTTTAAAGCCTTGTCAGTACTGTTTGTTATTTATATCTCAATCTCCAAGTATTTAAGGAATCACGTCAAGCAACTCGCCATGAGAAAAATTAGAAATTCTGCAACCTACATGGCGGGGTATAACCAGAAACGAAGAACAAATTAAAAAGCAATTGAAGGTTACTTGATAATAAAATACACGACAATAGACATGCATACGACATACTTTAACAGCTACTAAATCATAAATGAGCACTATTTTATTGTTTTCATGTTATTATACATTTGATCACAGTAAAATATCGATATTCACAACGAAATTTGTCAACTGAACGGAGCATAAATGCAGACGCGCGGTTGCATCGATGCTGTCAAAATTTTGAAAGCATAAAATGAAGATTTGCGCCCTTCAGACTTGGCTTTTTGATATTCTTCCAAAATCACCTCACAATCAGTAACAAAATGCCTATTTTGGTTATATTTGTAAATTAATGTCGTAATGATTATGCGGCAAGACATCACTAAATTCAACAAGAAAATTTTACATTTTCGACAGAAGTATCAACTACGATTGCATTCCAGCTGGTGCTGTCGAGTCTGGTCCACTTTTGTATGATTGATTAATAGCATAAGCAGCGTACATGGCATGTTCAGTTCAAGGATCGTGAAGTGCCGTTAATACCAGTTTAGTGGTAATGTGAAGTGCAAACTCCACGATGCACTAAATGCTAACAGTTCTTTACTACAAAACCGCAAATGAGAACAAAATCCATTAAAACTGGGTGTTTTGTGGAAGTAGATTGAAAGGGAATTCCTTTAAAACCATAGAAGCCCATGTTCGACCGTCACGTCAATGTTTTAAACAACAATACCTCAGAATTCTTGAAATCGTGACACAGCACTTTCACACCTCCCCACTTAACATTGCTTCTACGCGGTAAACAATCAAACACAACCTCCACTTACAGTGAGAGTTCGGAAGAGGAGGGAACGGTCGGCACCGCAGGAGATGAGGTAAATTTTCCTGTTTTCTTCACACTCGACAAACAGGGCGGAATTGACGATGCCCGAGTGGTCCGCCAGAGTTTGCACGCGCGAGTAGTCCTGCCTCGGAGCAAACACGTGGATTACACGGTCGCGAGACGAAGTACACAACAGTGACATTCCAGGGACTAAAGGAAAGGATAAGTGCAAGAACCAAGCCAATGTTGGCACCATTTTTTTGGCAGATGAGTGTGCAAGTGGATTCGGAGGAGGGGAAAATCTCGTTCGATGATGATTAAAGTGCGGTGCAGCTGTGAGACCCTCAAGCACCAAGGAATGCGACTGCGGGACCAGACAATCAACCAGCGCTTCAAAGTAGGCAAACCACGTCGTTGGTTCAAAGCTATTCAACGGAAGCGACTTGATCGACCAGGGGTATGTTATTCTGCGGCGTAACAACCCTGCACAGCACCCTACATCCACTCTACTGGATTGCCACATTTCCGGCTCGCTTTCAAGCCGAATGCAAAGCGCAACATTCAACGACGAAGAATTTTCTTCATAATTATAACAATACCAGATCGAGATTTTTGAGGAAGCGTGATCAAGAAGTTGGCGAAATGGGGAGATAAACTCGTAGCAAAAACATGCAATTGAATGATGACGCAAGTTTGTTACTACACGTAAGGAGTGATGACTCAGCATAATGGCAATGTTACATAAGACTAACAACAAATCTAGCGTTGGATAATGCCGCAATACAGACATGTCTAACAGTGCAATCGCCGTTACTTTATTCCTTAGAAATAAATGAGCTGTAGCGTGGCTGACCGTTGGTGATTCAACAGATCTGGCTTATCCGCACTGATACCATTGAAGGTAGCGCTATAGTTTGTCAGAAGTGGTCACGGAAACAAACGCCGCACAGAGATAGCTGTCGGTTTACCAAAAGAAGCCTTGTTGAAATAAATTGATCTTGATTCTATTCTAGAGTGACCAAACCTTAAATACTACCGATTAACCGGAAAAACGGCATGATCACACATCTTACCAATCAGGTGCAACTAGATTTGCTATTTCATCCGAACTCTAGTGGTTAACAGCCTCTAGCACCCACGGTCATCGAGTGCAAAAAAAACACGAAACGTTGCATGCAAAACACAGAGTAGGGTTGAGCCACGCAGCAGTCGCCATCACCTTCGGTCTCAATATTCCCGGGCAAACCCAATGCGATGGTCCCAAAAGAAGTGTGACACTCAACACACCCTCCGAAACTCACTAATAAATAACAAAAAAACATGTGATTATGGAAGGCGAGCCCCGGAAAGAAGTGTGTGAATCGAAGTCCATCAGGTTACCGGGATATGAGTTTGTTGATTCAGGGAGTTCGAGGAAAACGCTCGAAAGTCTGTCATATTTTGACGTTAGGCAAAACGGGGACAGATTAGCCCTCAATATTGGGCAAAAGGAGGAATAAAAAAGGGCGCCTACATTGGTGAACGACACTCACTTTGCTTAGAGTCGAAGTACGATATTGAAAGGATCTCCGCATCGTGGGCACGAATACTGTGCAGCAGTTTGAAGCTATTGAAATCATAGATCCTACAAAGGAAGAATGCGTTAGCACTTTAGCCTGAAAAACGAGTTAATGTATTAAAGGGAAAATGTAGCACATCAAGGCAGAGACAGTTTCATCAGATATGTGACCAAGCAGCATGTCTAACCGGCGCGTTCAAGTTCTAAAAAAACCAATGATACACCCACGCACATTTCCACTTTCAAATTACCAAATTTTATGTAACAGCTACTCGGCTCATGCTCCAGGATATAACTCAGGTTACGAACAATATTCCAGGATTTCAAAGACTCAGAACACCTGAGCATCGGTTTTTTGTGATAAGTAGATAATGGAGCTGACTGGGAGTGAAAGGCAGAAATAAATTAACATAATTTGAACGTTAGCACATATTTACGTGACAGAAAGGCGAGAACGTCGACAACCCTGTTAATACTCTTGCGTCTGGCGCACAGAACAACCTGTCTATTCGAATATACGCCGCGCACACGCGCCTGTGTGAGACGGAATGTCTGCTGAACGCAAGAGAGGTAATTAAATTTGAACTTAGGTGATCATTTTGAAATATTTTGTCAACGCTAATTATCAACCAAGAAGCACGGATTTCACAAGCGTCATTACCTTCTAGAGGCCCAGTTTTCCGGTGGTTGACACAAACCACAAGCTCCGTGGATATTCGTTCTCAATTTGGTATAACTCCAAAACTACACATAACGCACTAGGTATAGTACAATCAGGTATTCCTAATAGAGAGACAGAGAAGGTCGAGCTGCTTTATATTGTACCAAGTTATTCCCATTACGACGTGAAATTAAGACCATTCAGAAATTTCCGATTGGTTTAAAGTAACGCACATTTGAACATTTGACCCCCTTAGTGCTCGTCTGTCTACCGGAGATATATAAACACTACAGCAATATTAGTTTTTGGATAATTTAATATAACCTTAGTATGACCGGTTATAGCGAGTTGAATACTGTGCTACACAACGCAGCATCAAGCGACACACATGAATGGAGTTGCGCTCACGACGGACGCAAATGGTACCCAGCCGTGGCTGCGCTTTCCATCGAGGGAATTGGTGGTTCAAAACGTGATACAACCGAGCAATTCCATTCCAGCGTTGAATCGTTGAATTGGAATTGCATTTAATTGGCTAACAATAATTGACCTGATAATGAGTAGGAGTGGATGATTTTTTACATCCATCTAAGGTGGCAAGTAAGTTAGCTTCAGGGGCTGCAAGTCACCTCAGTTGGCCAGCCCTGTCGCCGACGGCTAAGTGTCGCCCATCAGGCGAAATCGCGACACATCGAAGACCGAAGCCGACAGGACCCTGTGAGGCTACGGCTGCGACGATGTTTACGTTGCTGTTCCATCGGCTGGAGCCGGACCTCACTAGGGCTGGGCTGCCCGGTGCCGAAAGATTCAGTGTGCTGCTACCTTGGCCAAAGTAAGTCGGTCCGAAACCACCTGTAAAGGAAACGAAACACACACAAAACGTGATTACGATCTACCTCTCATCCACGTCTGCGGAAAAATGTAAATATAAACAATGATGAATTTTAATACAACTTACGAATTATAGTCAGTCCAGTTTTAAATGTGGTAGAAATCCGGCGAAAAAATTCACACCCGCAAGAAGTGAATATCACAACCACGCGAGTTGTGGCCCACAAAATCAGCAAGTCAACTTAACAAGAGGATTTGGCATTAAAGAGGAACTCACTGGAGGTTCGGTCATCGGAACAGAGGTTGGTGTAGCTGCTGTCGGTGTAGAGGATGCTGACGTCCTCCTAAAATAACCATTTTAGAAAACAATAAAGCAACTCGAAAGCAACTTTTCGGGGTGGTAGAAATCTTCAAATCTTGAGAAGGCAACGTGGTGTTGATACTGAAAATGCAAGGCGAAGATGAAACCTCCAATAACAAATACTAAATCAACAGAACCCACAAGCAGTAGATGCTATAACAGTTGTACAACACACTGAAGCCCTCGTTGCTCACGGTTTACGACAAATCACTGGATGATTGGCTTATATCCTGCAAAAACCCAGTGACACACCAGCGCGTAATGATGACATTTAGCCAAAAAGTTGGTCGTACTCTTTAACACGATTCGATGCACTCGAGTTTACATGGTTTTTACGAAACTTATGCGGGCAGAGATGGACCACATCGAGGGCATCTAATGGGAGTTCAAGTGTTGCGGGCAGAGTGGTGGTTAAAGTAGGGATTACGTTACACTATGCACTTGGAGCGCCTTTTCACACATTTGGGTGATGCATTTCCCAAAAAGAGCAGGAAATGCGTGATAGTTGGATATACTTGCACGATTACGATAAATATACTAGTGTTTCTTTAGCATCACTGTTGTGAAAAATATTTTTGGAAAAAATGACTTCCGTTTTTTTGAAATAAGGAATCTCAGATGAGTTATTCCGATTTGCCATTCAAGGCGGCTAAAAGAAGTTCGTGTGGCCCGTTTATAGGACTAAGGCAACGGTAAGTTAAACAAAATAGGCGTAGGCAAATAACCCAATTTTTAATTTTTTTGCTTTTTGCACGCGAGCAGGCCAAAATGCATTTACAAGCATTACGGTTAGCCCATGAAGCTGGACTATCGCGCACAAGATAACGTATCGAAGTGCTGTGAAACAGTATTTCAAATAGTGCAGAATGACTCTGCGAAAGGGTAAATACCATTCCATTGGAAAAGAGTTCATTGCATTTGAGAGTCGATTTATTAACAGGGAAGGACCAAAGTCGGACAGTGTCGTCGTCGGAGCACGTGGCGAACATTTCCACGTGCGCGGGTGGCCCTGCGCTGCCCGGAGCACCCCACCGGCCCACGTCGGTCACGTCCGACGCGGAACCAGGCAGGAGGCTGGTCACTGCAATGCAGCACACGGGACGGCTGTGGTAAAAATGCGCGAATCGGCGGCTGATCGACCTCAGGTTTGTTACGTCCCAGCAATAGAGACTGGAGCAGCGGAAAAAAGCACCGATTACACAATGCATATCAGCCATGCTAAGGCTTTGACGACTTTTCAACCGGAATACTCAATAAACAGGCAACGGCAATGAGGTGGCTACCTAGCATAACATCGACACAAGTTAAGATATGAACTAAAACGCGCATGGACGAAATTGGGAAGCGTAATGCTAGCATACGTCACCAGTATTACCACAACCTAAGGCAAAGTTTGCCAGCATTTACAGAGTACCACGAAGACGCCTGGGTTCTTGGTAAAAGATCCAAAGATGGTAAAGGGACGCTAATGGAGCGTATGTGACGACGAACTCATGGTATGAAAAATGGCAGCGTTGATCTAGGAACTGCGATACCTGTGGTCGGTGTACATGCAGATGAGGTGGCCTGAGGCGACGTCGAGTTTTAGGGCCGTCACCTCCGCGTAGCGGGGTTCCTCGCTGTCACCAGATGAAGGGGTGGCAAACGACGGGATTTGGGAGTTGGGGCTCTAAGAAATTGAGGCCAAATCAGTGCAATAGCACAAAACACTTTTGGCGCTAATAAATGCTATATATTTCAAATTAAATAAAAAATATTCTCCAATCCATGTAAGGTGTTCAGCAACTGTTTTAAAAAAAGAACAAAAGCAAGGGTTTGCGATGATGTGGCTTAATTCGAGGACATGGGCTTAAGGCTCATGAATCGTGTTTGTTACAAAGAAGAAAGGACGGCTGTTAGAGTTTACAGAAAGCGTTAGTCCACCACAGATAGGGGCATTCCTTCATCATAAATGCACAGACAACTCGTGATAATTGAGGGCATGTGATTTGTTACTTCAAAACCGTCACAAAATGCTTTTATTGATTGAATTTTACATAATTTATTAAAACATGCAGGGAAACAACTAACAATGGGACTTACCGCTGTTTAAACGTAAAAATGTATTTGCATGGAATTGAAGAAATGTAAAGCAAAATGATGAATTTGGTTAAAACAACAGGAGACAAGGGAACAACTTTACATTTTGTTGCAACACCTTCCTCGAGACTGAAGCTGCATAATTTAAGATGACCCAGACAAGCCTTCAACGTGGTTTCGATGCCTAATACCACGTCTTAAAGATGACTGAAGACGGGTCACTGGAGTGACCATACAATAAAAGGACACAAGAAAACGCAAGAGCAGCAAATTACTTGTGGCCAAGCTTACAAATATGCTCGTGCCAAGAGGATGGGGAAGAGGTACACGGGCGATAAATCTGAGGCTAATTGCGGAAAAGAGAAGGCAGACTCCAGAAGAACAACCCACGGCCACCGTCTGCCCACATACGGCCATGCAACCCGCGTTGGAAACCTACAGAGAAAAAAAAAACTAATCTTGTTAAAAAGAGGTGTGGTAATTATTCAAACAACATAAAGCGATACACGATTAACTTTCCGTTAGATGGAAGTAGTAGTCTCAGGGAGAAAACTCAAAAACATCAGGAAGTAGCCACAAAGGAGTCCACACTTTCCAATCAGACACTTTGACAAGCGCAACACAACCAAGTCTAACACAATGCAAATACAATTAAATGAACCATTCCGGACGTCACTAGTAGTGAAAAAACACTCGCGCCAGTTAGCCCATGGAATAAAAATTGAAAGGCGCACACGCGTTTTTACTATCAATCAGTGACAACCTTGAAAAAGGTGTGCGCAGCCGGAGGAAACAAAGCATGGATTATGCAGGGAGCAGTATGATGATGATGATGGAATCTCGGTGATTTGACCAACACCGCGAATCACCAGAGGGCTCAGTAAAACACTAAACACCTGGGACCTCTAATAAACTAATTCCACGTTTTATAAAAAGATAAAAAGTTAAGTACACAAAGCAAATGAACAGAAATGGTTCTAAATACCGAAATTCACAAGTAACTAGACCATATGAAATCCGAGTTAAGGCAAAATTTAAAGAGATCAGCAATCACAGAGTAGGCGGTGGCAATTTGAGAAGCAACTGTTATCAGCTGGATTTCAGTGAATTTAAGTGGGATGGAAATCAAAGATGCGACTCGCAATAGACCTGGCGCACTAATGCACAGGCCCAAGAAGAAGGAGACAGGTGCAACTCATATGAAAAGTGGATAACACTTAAAATAACTGATGAGACCAGCGTCACGATTGCTAGTGTGTGTTTGACAAGAGCTCGTAATATCACGCCTCCTCAAGCTACAACAAACTTAGCAGATGCAACTAACCAAAAGGGAAGTTGCAAAAAAATACAGAATCGGCTTCCCTGGTGATACGCACATAACGCTGGGAAGCAAAGGCCAAATATATAAGGCCAATATTTTATAGACAATTGGGGAATAGCCAAGAGGGCGAAGCCAAATGCTTCCAGGTAAATGATAACTTGCAAATGACTAGAAAAGCAGCCAAGTCTTGGACCAATAACATGAAAACAACAGACAAACGGATTTTCGGAAGGCTCAATCACAGCCTGTGCTAGAAATATTCACACTTTCATGACAAAATTCAACAACAAGCTGGCATTATCACCGACAAGCGCACGCCGCGCCCTGGGCACCAGTGGACGAAGGACGCGTTTGTTATCCAATGGCTTCGGATAATGAGAAGGTATTGCTCAATCCAGACAAGTAAATGACCTCGTGAGTTCGGTGAATTGACAAGGGTCGGTTTTAGACAAGTTATTACAAATTCGAATAAAAATGAGGTTTTTAATGAATGACTTATTTGCTGAAAAAGATGTCATGTAGTAGTGAGGAAGGGCAAGGAATCTTGAGCTGCCATTCATGTCGGAACTGCAGGTGTTTCAAGAAATAGGATAACGGAAAATTCACCCAACGTCACACTTGCCAATAAACGCTATTAGGCGTCTGTGTAGAACAGTTACTTGTACTCGGAGGTACTAATGACCAAGTCGAACCGTCCTGGACAGGCCTGATTGAAAACTAGTGACTTGCTTCAATAGAAGAGGATGGTTTAGCGCAAATCTACGAAAAGCAGGTTTCATGAGTTGTACAGCAAGGGTGAGAAAGTGTCAAAAGTAGGTTGGCTTGGCAAATAGCGCCACCAAACACACGCTAATCCGATCAATATGATCCTCTCACCTTAAGATCGACCCACTTGGTGACGCATCGGCTTTCATTGATCTGCAGCAACTGACCGGTCTGTGAGAGCACGAGGGTCAGCGCCTGATGATCTCCGCTTGCCTTTCTCAAGGGATCCTCGGGTTTAGCACAGCACACGTCCGTGAAGGTGTTGTGGAGCATGTCACCCAAGACGGCGTTCCGACCCTTAAGAGGCTGCGTCTCTTTGACCTATGAGGTAAATACGGTTTGGTCGGAAACTCATTGATGAAATTATTGACCAAGGTGCCGGGTAAACTAAGCTCCCGAACCCCCGAAATTCAAACCCCGAGTCCAGGGCAATTAGTGATGGGAAGCCACCTTCATTGAACTTGGTCAAATTGCGCTGATGAGCTTTGCACTTATGCGATGCAAGGTAGGAGTCATTGCTGCTAAATGCGGGGCCGCCCAACACGGCTGGAATTATTTAACCCTCCGATGTTTTCCGGTGACCTAGATCAAATCAAGCTTAATAGATTTGGCCGTCAGCCATTTGGGTTAGTTCATTAACGCTGAAGTTGAAAGATTGAATGTACGTGCACGGAGTTTCGATCGCATCCCAACGGCCAGAGTGAGTGCCTTTGATAATAACTCTACATCTGGCTTAATATTTATTTAAATACATAAAATCATTCTCTCAGACCAAAGGAGAAACGCGTTAACTGTGTTCTTGTTGTCGGAAGTACATTTAACCTATTTCAATGAGAAGCGTCTAAAATGATCTTAAAGCTAACAAACGCTGCCAACGCACATTTATAGGAAATTAGCTGAAGCGCTAACGTTTCGAAGATAAGAATCAGATTTGAGAGGGGGGGAATTTTTGGACTTGTGAAGTCCAAACACCAGTGGAACTGTTGTTACGAATTTGCAAAGAATGTAACCCCTTCGAAGTCACCGATCTAGAAGATTGCCAAAAAAGGACAGAATAAAACGGCCAAAGCGTGCTACGTCTATTTCTGGTACTTAATTGGGCACCACAAAGCGAGCAACTACAGGCAGTGCAGAGCAAGTGAATAGGCTGAACCAAATGCCCTCTGAGGCAAAATATGAGTCCCAGGTCTATTTTGAATAAAAGGAGTCGAGTGAAAACCAAAGATTCATTAAATTTGAACAAAAACTAGGTTTCTAAATTATACAGTTCGAGATAAAACAGAGCAAACAGGTGTCTCGGATTATTACAAGGCGACGACTCTTCGTGATGGTGAACAGTTGAGTTAAAGGAAAAAAAGCACCTGATCGTGACTCCGCTGTTACGGCCAGCAAGGATTCAAAAGCGAGAGGGCATCTGCGCCGTTGGTCAAGTGAAACGAAAAAATTGCAAGCGTGTGTACGCGTGGCCATCGATCAGTTTAACGCTTCACAGAAAAGGCGCATAACAACGATCCGGAGGGCAGAGGATGCATTAAAACAACAGGCTTCCGCCATGTAACACAACAACGCAAGTGCCAAAATGCGCATAAAAGCAGTCTAGTCTATTAAACGCCTAACACAAAGACGTTTATTACACTAAACAGTGGATCAACATACATTTTAATTAAAATTCGGTTTATTCCGGGTTCGAAATCAACAAGGAAACAAATAAGCATACCTAGCAAAATACTTAGAATTGAACTAAAGCGTCGTAATTGCTTACATTATTAGCGCCAAAATAGGGGGCCGAACAAGAAAACATGGAATAATGGACCAAGAAAATCCATTAACCGGGTTCATTGGGACCGGGCAAAACGCTTACACCAAGTCCAGCAGAGGAACGCGCGAGCTTTCGAAGCGACTTCGACCACATCAAATCTTCAGTAGAACCACGATAACACAACGCTCGCAGAGCTAGCACTAAGCCCAATCGACAGGGTCAAGTTTAAAGCAAAACGCTTTTCGCCAGCCACTAAATGAAGGCACTTTTTGGACTCTTAAATGACCATGCAACTTAAAGCAGGCTGAATTCAAATGCAGGTTTTAGGAGTGCAATCGCCAAAAAAGTGGTGTACATACAAGTATTTTAATCACAGGCAAAAGAGGGGACCAGCATTGCAACACTCTTCCATTGAAACAATGCTTGAACCCCCAAAGTGTGCCATCTCTGTCAAGAACATCGTGACAAAGAAAATCCTGCTGAACTCGCACACAATTGTGAACTTTTTCTCACTTCCACTGTTATGTGATATTCGGATGTTATAATCGCCAAATGTCACTGCTTAGCACGAAGAATTGTTTCTCGTCCTATTTGTTTCTGAACAGTTGAATCGAATCTCAGGGGAAAATACGAGTTTTTGGTGTCATTATTCATTGATTCGAGATGTAGTCAACAGGGGAACGCATTCGTTCACAACAAAAAACTGGAGCTTGCTATGATCGGTGAGAACAAGCTGAGCATTAATTTAGTAATCGCGTGATTTACTGCCTGTTGTGTTTTCCTGAAGGTATTCCAGGCCGAAATTGCAATTTTATTGAAATTCCTGTGCGGCCCCACTAGCTCGAGTCGTGGGTGCATCACACATACACAAGACAGTAACCACCAATAAAAACTGCCCTTTGCTACTTGAAGTCGATCAAACAGGTGACCAGGAAGCCTTTTTTGAAGTTGTTTCATCTGCCAGCGACTTACTGCGCAACAAGTAAAGTTACCTTTGGGCGACTTTTCAAATCGATGTACCAGAATCGAACGTGGCGGATTCCGACGGTGACAAAAAATTCGCCATCATCATTGAAGGCCACAGCATTAACCTGAAAAAGGAAGCGAAATAAGCACTGGTTGAGAGGGCATTGCAAGTTCTGCTGAGTGACATCCAAAAACGAACATCGCACATTTCCCTGCCTGCGGGCGTACACCCGGCTGACAGGCTTGGCACGTGGAGCGTGGTGGCAAAAAGGGCGTTTTGACTGCAACAGCAGCAGAATGACAATTCGCTCCAGTTGATAAAGTGCGCATCTATTGCGATTTAAAGAAGACAATAATCGCACTTTTGCCAGGTCTTCGGGCGCAAGTTGAAGTTTGCAAATGTGCGCAGCAACGTTAAGCTCAGTGGTGCCATAAATGCAATTTTTTTGGTATTTACCTGTCCCCACCAAGTGGAAGCAGATCTGGACCACGGAATACGAAAATTGACTAATAAAGAAATACAACGCTGCGATCTAACCACGCATTTTGGAAGAATAACATGCATTGCTAGATGATGTATTAGAGATAAAGAGATAGCACGAAGACCTCAGAAATTAGGAAAGAGGAGTGAACTAGGGGAACTACTACTACCAAGTACGCAATTATGCTTTGCATTACATGATTTTTAAAACAAAGCATAACGCCAAATTACGACTTCCTCATATTTGCCACCAGTAGCTCTACCAATTACTAAATCATTCCTTCACTTAACCTTTTGTCACCCTCGGTAAACGTTAACCTTTAAGAAACTATCCAGGTTTTCGGTTAAAACCTGTAAGAAGCGTGACAATCTGCAAAGATACTAAAATACTATGTACGTTGTGGATAGGTTACACAGAGACAAGAACCAGTGCACAGTCTGTTCCCCGGATAGGAACAGTACAATTTAGAATTTCATAATGCCAGAAATAGCAAGTCAAGTAAATTTAATTTTCATGATTTCGGATAAATTTGACCCGCCTTTCGCATCGACTAACAACTTCCTGCAATATTTATCACAACCTGCATTAACTGTGAACGCGCCATGGTGGCTAACCCGGAAAGCCATTTAGCTGCAGAGTAAGCTGCTCTCGGCAAGTGAGAGAGCCCCCATTTTGCCGTGTTTGCAATGGCACGTGACATTTGTTCACGAATTCAGTGTTCAGAACAGCCTAAAGCGTACAGACGGCAGCGGAAAACTAAGGTTACTAAAAGGTTCAGACAGTGCGCTGTTATCCCTGTACAGGGTCTGTGGTCAGGTTTAACCCATATCTTAAAAATGCAGGCATATAAAAACTGTACAAATAATGATGACTTGACAACTTTTACAGGATGTCAAGTATGATGAGACATTAAATAGCCAGAGCTGCATGATAATGAGGCATTGAAAATGACATAACAGTCGAAAAAGTGCACGTAGTGAACTATCTGCAGTTGGTTTCACATTGGTTTAAGCGATTAAAAATCAATTTACGTTAATTGGATCACTGCTGTTCAACGTTAGGACCACAGCTTATTTAATTTTCAGACCGCCAATCTACAAGCAAATGTGAATAAGAAATACAACAGGTGATACGTTCCAAACTAGCGAACGTTGTCCTCAGCAATTTTGTGATGATGTGAGCTAACGCCGTAGAAGTCCCGAATGATCAATGATACGGATTTTTAAGAGGAATGGATTAAAAAATGAAATTTCGTGGAATAAATTATACTCACCCGTGCGGAGACCTTAGCACTGGCGACCTTCCGAAGCTGTACGCGGTCCCACACACAGATTGTTTGGTCCTCCTGACACCCCACACTGACAATGTGCGTCGCAGAAACTGGACTGAATCGGACGGAACTGATGCGAAAGTGGTGACTGCCCAGTTCTCCAATCTGGCGTCCGTCGGCACGGCTCCAAATGCGCACCATGGGATGATGTCCCGACTGGAGGTAAACAAATAACTGGTTGGGAAGGGCGAGCAACAACTAACAGGTGACTCGTGGATATATGGCTCACTTTCATATTTGTCTAGCACATTACGAAGAAGGGAGCCCAATCTCATCTGTGTGAGCACAACTGTTGGTGGCCAAGTACGTCCAAATATTGTGTCGGTGTCACTTTACACGACCAGATGAAGTTCCGATTACACCTGAGCAACATGGGCATCAATATGCTTCCCAGCTTTACTTTGAAATTTATCGAAATTTTGGTCGCATTTTTTAAACTTATATTACATTGATGAAGTTGTGAACCTCTAGTAAAGTGTGTTAAATCGTCCAAAAACAAAATTTGGAATTTTTATGGGCTCACACGCCATACAGGTCTTGCATGGCAGTCGTTCAAGTGACTCAACGTAGCACTTTTGACATTTACGAAACCTATGCGGATGAGGACTAAGGAAAAGGTGACGCAGGAGCAGAAAACCATCGTGAAAACAACAAAAATGCATCCAGATGCAAAAAATCAAACATATGAGTTACAAAAGGATCAATCTAAGATTGATTTGTATGAAATAACTATAACTGCACATGCCCCAAAGTACTATTTAAAAAATGAGAAGTCAAAAGACAGGCTTTCATTTCCTATTAGCAAAGTACATGACTTTTGAGCTCGTCAACTTTGCTTTTGCGTTTTAAACTCAAACTGAACTGCATAGGAATAGCATTACCATTTAAGTGCTATCATTTTGTAACAGTTCAAACCTCGACCCAATGCCACGTAATTAGTTTAGAAGCTGGTCTGAAAGGCAAAGGGTCCAAGTGGAGTCGAGAATCATGACTGAATTTACTTAAAGTGGGTCGAAGACGCCTTATTTCTGATGTTAAATGCCTACAAATAAATGCTTGAATAAGTTGAAAACTTCTACCCAAATGAACTTTTTAATGGGGGTAAAATGTAATGAGCAAATTACAGGCTACAACATTCACATTATTAATCACGATCATTAAGTCGTAAGAAAAATGAGTAAGTTAGTCTATCCTATTTTTAATTTGTTTGAGAAAACTCAGACCCGAGTAACAATTTTCCGAAAGAAAAAAGTAAGGAAACAACCAAGCTCATAGCGAAATTGGCCAAAAAGGACTACTGGTTGGATTCCCAGTCAAACAAATACAAACAGAGGCAACTTACTTCGCCCGTGACAATGTATTTCCCGTCATGGCTAACATCGAGACAGCATATAGACTTCCTTGTTGGGCTCTGTATTATAAACTGCTTATTACTGTCACATGACTCCGCGACAATAACACATCTATCAACGAAGTAAAGAAAGCAAAGGTGGTAAAATGTGCATTGTATGCCCAATACTACTCTAAAATCGGTCACTGTTTTGGACAATACTGGAATTTGAGAATGTTTAATATGAAGATGAATGTAAATAACTGGATGGTAATAAAAACAAAAAAACGGTTATACAAAACCATGAAGACGAAAACAAGAATAAACTGCATCGACTTGGCAAATATATTTTTTTTAAAGATAGTGAAAACACGGGAAATTAGCATGATTATGATCGCACGTAAGTTGTTGGTATCATTTAAGCCCGGAAGGAAACAACTCAGGCTTTTGACAAATATAAGAGTCAACTTATCCACCGGTTTGATAAACCTTTAGGAGGGGTAATCGATCTATCGTACTAATGTTATTGATAGCCAAAATAAATAAATATTAAAAAATGACGAACTGGGCGACCATGAAGCATTTTTAGAAAAAAAAACACGTGAAATAAATAGCATGTACATTGACAAATAAAGCATACGAAAACCATACAGTACGAACTTACCCAGCCGTATAATAAATACAGGAGTTTTTCGAATCGAAGGCAACTGAACAGTTGTTCACTGCAGTGAATCCAAGGACACGCTCCAAAGTAACACTTACAGTACACTATAAAAAAGTAACATAAGGGTGTGCTCGGGTTAATAACATTAAAAGAAACAAAAAAATTCATACCTTTGTCTTCGAGTTGTGGCAGAAACGAGTCCCTTTCGACATTTTAATGGACATTCATCATTGGAGGATTACTATTAGTATCTAAAAAGATTACAACACAAAAGAACATGGGCATAAAAAACTGGGTAAAATAAAAGCAGAGGATAAAAAGATAAAAGTGCCAATGAACAGGAAAAAGGCATGTCCATGCACAATTGCAGAGATTTAGAGCAAAACGACGATTGAGAAGTCGAGGATTGCCCGGGTTGGTATAAAACAGAATGCAAAAATGTGGGTAAAGAAAAGGAACCAGTCCTAGCACATTTCTAGATCAGAAAAATCATTACACAAACAAATATAATGGCACGTGCAGTAGGGCGTAATTGTGTATTGAAGGCGTGAGATGAATTAATCTTCATTAAAACGACAATTTGCATTAAATTGTTGGCAATAAATAAAGGGAGCTTAAGGTAGTACAAAGAAACTAAGTCAACCAACTAATCTACACTTAGACAAAAAAATTCAGGCACGTATATTACTTCAGCAAAAAAGACGCATATCCCAAAAGTCATGATTAAATTAAACACGAAGGCACAGGAAAACTGACCTCCACAGTAAACCTTCAAACGCTATTCAAGGTCACATGATCTCACATCAATTAATATTATATCCTTGAGAGGATCAATATTAATTTGGATTTATTTTGTATGCTAACCTTTGCACATTTAAAAAAATTAGGGAATAGGAAGAAAATTTGGTCAATCAAAGAGCGTTAGTATACAACGCAGACTAAGCATGATAACATGAAGTTAGTTAAATCTGTTACTTATCATGATGTTCTCTTAGGATACTTTTATTAATGATTTTTAACCATTATAAATTTAGTGACTGATAAATTAGTTAACATTAGGTGTACTAATATTTATCAAGAAAAAAGTAAATTAAGGATAAATGTTGTTTCAATAAATTTCAATTTTTATTTCTGAATAGAAATACAAGATATATTAAATTTCAATTTTAATACTGTTTTACGACAAGCAAGCAAGTGCAGCTAGCATTCGTGAGCAAACACGATTCAATCGATTTTCCGTGAATGCACTTAAGTGAACAGGTAGCCACCACGTTTTGGTGATGCGTGTATGCTTGCCCGACCACATAAATGACTTACCCTTTTGGTTATTGGCACTTTTTAGCATTTGTTTAAGACGTAGGCGTATAGATACGCACACAAGGTTACTCAACTTAGTTGTGGCGGCCATAATAAACGGTCCTGCCCTCTATCGCTCCTTATTTTCCGTCTTCTCTGGTTGTTACGGTCTGTTAACTAGAGAATTGTAAGGTAGTGCTAAACCTAAACAAACACTTTAAAAATATTTATAGAGCAAGTTTTCCAGGATGATATGAGAATTTGTTTACTTAACAATATGGATATGAAAAAAATAACGTCAAAGAATAAACAGAAATATTACATCTGACAAGATCCGGTGTGGCAGTCAACCCCCACCGGGGCCAACAATATAATTTGAAATTTTGATTATTAGAGAAAAAGGAATCCGTGGACAACACGGGTGATGCTGACTTGTTGATATGAAGTGTCAAGGTAGCAATATACATAAGACGCAAAAATTTGTTCTAAATAAAAAAATATGTTTTAATATATCTTACGTCGACAAATAGGTCACATTTCTTAAATATTACATAGTCTTACATGAATTCGACCATATTTGACACTTTTTTAAAACATATAAAATGTAACTGTCATGTGAGCCTCCTTCTAAGCCAATTTTGGATTTCAGGTTTACATCATGGGCCAGGAGGATGATTAAAATTAGAAATAATATGTCTACCTTATCAAAAGCAATATGACCATGAGTAATTAAAACAATCAAGGATTGTAGGCTAGTTAAATATTAATAATTATTATTCGACTTTTGTAAACATTTGCATTCGTTTAACAAAAGCAAACAAGCTTTAACAAAAAATTGCCTGACTGTCTATGTTAAAGACCTCATAGGCTTAAAAAAAATTAATATTACACATTTAGTATATGAATTAATTAAATAGGCAATTATTCTGTTAAGTTTCGTTTCTGTTAAGCAAAATAAATTATGGTGTTTCCAAGGTCAACTTCGTATGACAGTATTTCACAACTGGGATTGGCTTTAATGGAGGCTCGCATTTTCAGTTCAGAAAGCCGTTGTGAATCCAAGTCAGTTAATCATAACTCCGATAACCATGATGAATGCTCAAATGCTAAAATCGGTTGCACGGAGTCCATTTTTAGTCATGATTTTGCTAGCGTAAGTATCAAAAAATCTCAAAAATAATTTAATATTTATTTACTGATCGCATATCTAGTATTTTTATTTCACCTTATGCGCGTTGGGCATTTCTATATACACACACGAGATGAGCTGCTCACTTTATTCATTTCTTGCGTACACCTAGGTAATTCTGTTAGTTTGATATAGGTAACACACCACAACTAATTTTTTTCCTTTTGCTAAGACACGCAGACACATGTATACGTGTTCAAAAAGGGAGCATAAACTTATTATTTGACATACTGCTTATTGTGGCTTTATATGTACATAAGTACCTGTGAGTAATCTAATTCCAGAAATCTAACGTGTCGAATTCAATAATGCATTAGGTTTGCTTATGCGACGCACCTCCTGAAACAAATATTGACATGTGTTTGTATTTTTCAGCTTGCACAGTCTATGGCACATAGCGCAGAGGAATTTGTGCGACAGGTGTGGCTGCGTGGGTGGCAGCTTGTACAATTCGCGCAATTACCCGCTTGGATGAAGGATAACGATTTTCTAGTCCGTGGTCATCGGCCAGCACTCAATTCTTATTGGAGCTGCGCGAAATCGATCTTTCGTATTCACACGGAGACTGGCAACATTTGGACCCACTTACTTGGCAAGTGTTTCTTCACGAGAAATATTAATGAATCTGTTATGCATTACATGTTGAGCGGTAACTCTAAGTCCCGTCTTATGTATTTAGTTCTGGTACCATAATCTGGTTCTCCTAGTTGTTCATTATAGTTCTTTGTTTTCTGCCTTTCTTCGTCTAGGTTGTGTACTGTTTGTCACCATCTGGGGTTCCTTTATGTTCATTGCTACAGAAAGCATTCAATGGCAAGACAAATTGGTGTACTCTGCATTCTTTACGGGGGCAGTCATTTGTCTAGGATTCTCCTGTGTCTTTCATACACTCAGCTGTCACTCCCTTAAAGTATCGCGATTCGCAAACAAGTTAGTAAATTTTATTTCCTACCTAAATGCCCTTTTTAATTTTATTTTTAAACAAATGTAATAATTCTATACGTCGCTCGTAAATAAAAAAAACTAGCTTAAGATTAGGAGCTCATTATATATTTCTTAACAAACCAATTCTGGCTACTATGACAATAAATTAATCAATTGAGGGTCCCATTAAGCTCAGGTTAAGTCCATGAAAAGTGCGCTTTTAAAGGCATTGCAATTTTCCTCTCTTAGGACAAGGCAATGCGGAGCGTAAATACACATAGTTCATATGCTCAAAGTTGGCTCTTTGTTAGTAAAAAGGAATTGGGTAGCTCGAGAATCATAGTTTTTTTAGGATGGGAGGTTTTCGAATCTCCATTAGTAGGCATTTTACCGCCAACACAAGCTATCTGCTCAACTCCGCCCAGGACATTTAATATATTCCCTAGACGGTCCCGAGGAAGTTCTTAGACGTTTATATATCCAAAACTTTATATTTCAGTTCGGCAGAGATGTCTGCCTAATTTTTTGGCATTTGAATGACGATTTGCGTAATAAGTAGATCTAATAAGCAACTCATATTTTGCAAAGTGGCTAGCCCTAGTAAATGTCAGCCGTTTCGACTTCTGGGTGAGATTTTATGGATTCGTGTTCCTAAATACTCAGTTTACTTGCAACTTTTTCAGACTAGACTACGCAGGGATAGCTATACTAACCATCGGATCCTTTGTTCCCTATCTCTACTACACATTTTACTGCGACTTTTCCGCAATGATCGGCTATCTTTCTTTGATTTGCATACTCGGAGTGATGTCCATCTGTGTGTCCATGCTTGACGTGTTTGCCAGTCCACGCTTTCGCTCAGTTCGCGCTGGATGCTTTATTGGCCTTGGTCTGTCAGGGGCGATTCCTGCGACGCACTATGCCGTCTTTGCGGGCTGGCACTCTGCCGTGGAGGATGGATCATTTGGCTGGCTTGTTTTGATGGCCGTTCTTTACATATCGGGAGCTTTGCTCTATGCCCTGCGCATACCTGAACGCTGCTTTCCTGGCCACTGCGATATATGGGTAAGGATGTATATATGATGATATGCGCAATAGTTGAGCTACATTTAATGTCAATTCACGCATGAAATTGTCAAAAGTGTGAGTGTCAAAACATGTTACAGTAAAAGATGATTGAAATTAGCTACATCACACACCAAAGTTACCACGCCTAAGGTCAGAATTCAAAACTCAGTCAATTAAAGTAGTGTTTCGAATTATGACACCTAATAATATTAGTTTTAGCGAATAGAACTACTGCGTTTTAGGTATAGCAAAGCGGTGCAGTGATTCCTATATAACAAGCGTTAGAGAAGTTAGTTTCCAGCCCTACTCATGTGTTTTACCCACCGATCGCTATACTTTGAACATCATGAATCTATGTACGAGATTGAATTCAAATGTTGTTGAAAAGGCCTTCATTTAATGCATTCACTAAGCGGCAAAAACTTGAATTACCACGCATTCGGAATTACTGCTTTACGAATTTCTACTCCCCTGCTTTGTTGTAATTTGACACTGCTTTCAGTTGCTAATGGCTTGTACAATCTTCCTTGCCTCTTTCAGTTCCAAAGCCATCAAATATTCCACGTGTTTGTGGTAGCGGCAGCCATGGTGCATTACTACGGCATCGCAAAACTCTCCGATTACCGCCTGAGTCGAGGAGACTGCAAACCAGACCAGCCCCTCAACTTTACTCGCACGTAGTTCCAGCTCATTACTGTGATGTAATTGTGATACCTGTCACTACGTCCCACTCATTTGAACACCAAAATATGCATGTTTTAAGTTTTCGAGAGCACTTTGGTTCAGCGAAATGAATCTCCGTTGTCATTCCGACAAAACGGCAAGCACATGCCCATAAGACTTAGTTTATTTCAGCTGGCCCTTTCAAGGCTGAGGTTTCACATCCGGGTAGCCGGTACGATTGCGCATAGGCTTGTGCACATTGAACACAAAGGTTGTGCTAGGCATGGTACTGTAAAAAGTGATTTTGAGCTACCACCCGCATTTCGTACCATACAGAAAAAAGTAGTTAATGAAAAGGAGTAAAATATTTACATGCAGAGTCCATTAGTAGAGCTACCGGGTCAAGAATTTGTCGAGGTTAATATGGCGTTTACTAGCCATATTTTTGACACCGTACTTTGTCGTGTTTTTGGACAGAAGTCGGTTTCTTAAAGGGTCAGCAGCGGACCTATTAGGGGGCGATGGCTTCACAAAGAGGCTAGTGGGGCCCGTGTTGGATTCTTGACCACCCAAACCGTTGTATGGTATGGCTTTGGGGTGGCGATGGTTCTCGTTTCTGGCCAAGTTCCTCATGATGGCAAGCTGGAAAAGACTAGATGGCCTTCGGCTGGCTGCCACACAACCTGGCAGTTGACGGCGATCAACATCAGCCTCGGTTTGCTCCCGTAGTGCAGTTGTGAGGCGAGGGGTCGAAATCTCGTCTGCGGTTCCCAAACGTCGGCCGCATGGGGTCATTGCAAGACTGTCATCGAGTTTGAATGGGTTGACATGTGGCGTAATTTTTGTCATCTGAACAAGAGGTGAAACAGGATCTCATTTACTTTTAACGAAATATGATCACTTCAACTTTAAGGATTTTGCCAGTTACTATTTAACCATGTTTATGTAGGATTAGCCAATATTCCCATATTTTGTGTCCTTGGTGAGTGTATAGCATGACATTGTTGTAGGCACGCGCGATGAGGAGGATATGACTCGAAATCGCTAAGTTGTTGCTTGATATCACAAACGTAAGTGTCGAGGGCTTCGCGGACATCAAACACAAAACCTTTAGTAATCGTGGTCTTACTTGCCTTGAACGTTTTATTCCCAACGTCACCGGTATCATCTTGAGTAATTGAAGCGATCTCAGGAGTGGACAAATCTATGTAGCGCAAGCAAGTTTGTAAGCCGAGATTATTTTCATTTGCAGGAGTGCTGGGTTCAGCACTCGTAGACGGCAAGGGCGCTGCGGCGTTGGCAACTGATACGGTGGAGGGAGTAGTGGGATTGGATGGTGCTTGTGCGTTGAGTGTAGCTGAACTCACGAGGGCTGCCATTTCCGCTTGGAGTTGGCTCACTCGCCCCTTATACTCGGCTGCCTTGGCTTCTGCTTCGAGGACACGTTTTGCGGCTTCCGACTGAGCACGTTGAAATCTATTGGCATCGGTACGGTACTTTCGTGCCCGATTGCGAGCTGATGATAGTTCAGTCCGGAGGATTGAGGCCCAACGGCAAATGGTGGCAATGGGTGAGGAACTGTCAGAGGAACCTTCACTGCCGTGGCCCATATAACTATTTAAAAGATCGAACGCGGCTTTTTCAGAAGCTGTGGAAAGCAGAAACGCAAAATGACTAGAAATAAGACATCGAAATACAATATCTCACCCAAAAAAAGAACAGTTACAACAATGTGGTAAGACATCGATTTCTTTACATAACAAAAATGTGCATTTTCATATTCGAGGTGCAAAACCATATAACAGAATAGTACATTATTTCGCTAAAGATCAAACACCGAAGTGCATCAACAAAGCGTAAATTCTATTAGGTAGAGAGGTTAAAGGTATTAAGGTTAAGGACCACATCATCATGATCCAAACATGGAGATAGGTAATTATTGCCTTAACAAAAGGCAGACATAACAGGTTAACAAAGATAAGGGAATAAATTTTGAAACGTAAAGCAACATCACTCCGATTACGCAAATCAAAGAGAGACGGCCAACAAGTACGGAAAAGTCGCAGTAAAAGGCGTGGTAGAGATAGGGGAGAAAGGATCCAACGGTTTGTATAGCTATCCCCGCGTAGTCTAGTCTGTAAAGGTGGCAAGCAAGCTGAGCGTTAGAGAACACGAGTTGCATGCTTGATGTGGTTGTTAGGCAGACATGTATGCGAAATTTAAATAAATTCCACCAACCTCTTTACATAACTGAAACATAACTTTTTGGATATGTAAACCAGCAGTGACTTCTGCTGGACTGTAGTTTGAATAAAAGTGAGGTCTTCTGCTTTCTTGCCCGACCACACAAACTTTGCACAACACGTCTCAGCTGACTGACTTGGCAGCAGTGAGGGAGTTCCTCAGTAGCTTATTTACAGGGGCTATACTTTTGAACAAATGACCCAAAATTGGCCATACTGCAGTTTTCAAGCAGCATAGTTTCAGGGCAGCGCTATGCCCAACGTGAATTTGAATGCTTACCCACCAAGACCAGCCAATTCCTCTAACCACCGGGTCACTTCATGGAGATGTGTGAAGTGAACCCAATGCAAAGCTTACAATGAATAAGAAGCATTTGGGCCATTACACATATACATGTGCACATTTGAATAGCAAATAATACCACGATATGGCTAAGTTAAACCTAAACATGGGACTGACATGGTTTAGGTAAGGCATAATTAGGGCATTCGTTAAGAGGTAGATTAAGGCCCTTAAAACAAATTTGGTAAACAAGAACTTGAACAAGAATAAACCGGCTCTAGAAAGGAATACTCTTACATTTTCTGGGAAATATTGATTCACTACACCAACGACGAGAGAGGTTGACATTTGTTATTGTGGTTTTAATGGAAACAATGTTAAATGAGAAAAACTTACATCCGATAAGGGTTTGAATATCCTTCATTTCTACAACTTGCTGACGAAGTTTCAGGCCCTCTGCTTTAATAGACTCGGCTTCTTGCAAAATAGTTCGGTAGCTAGACAGTTCTAGTCTGTGAAAAAAGCCAAAACAAATAGAATCCCAACCCCTTAACAAGCTCCTGCATCAACAAATTTGATTCGTTAGTTACTTGTACAGAAGCCCATGTTGTACATGTATTAACAATCACAATATGTAAATTGATATGGAGCCAATCGGTTTCTTCACATTTCCCACTACATGCAGGATTAAAAGTACATGACGAAAGACTGTCGTTTTAAGTCCGTTTTAAAACTACGTGCAAATCGAATTATTAGTACATACGATGGAAGCAAACGCCGATAACCTACTTCGCCTGCTTGCACTTTTGTCGTTCCTCAGAGTAAAGACGGTCAGTTTCCTTATACAGTGAAGAGATAGCCTCCAATTCTGTTTCGCGGTCAGCGAGTTTCTTTTCAGTCGACTTTACAAGTGTTTGGAGAGTGGAGGTCTCGTTAGCTAGCCGCTTAATTTCACATTTAGCCCGGTTCAACGCCATCGCAAGAAAGGCTGAATCCCCGGTATTGATCTATGAAGGTACAAAATCGCATTAGAGAAGCAAAGATTCGACTTCGATTAATGCCTGCGAGTGGAGGTAATTTTTACTAGCACAAAAGCGATTTTACATTCGGTTGTCTTGTGATAACAACAGCAGGATAATGGAGAAGTGCATAACCCTAGTTACATTATTTCAGGCAACAGAGGGAGATGGGTAATCAAGGAAAAGAAAGTCAAAATATTGATTGGAGTGACACTTTAGACAGAAAAATCTGCATAATATAAAAAGCAAAAAAACAACCAAGAAAAAAACAATTAGCTTTATGCTTTCAGGAGGCACTTACGTCATCACCACACGACGGCATTGAGGCCACTATTTCGGGCAGTAAAATAGATGTAGATGCTCGATCAACAGAGGAAAAGAAAAGCTTCTTAATAACCTGTGTCCTCCGAACGGAGACTCTGCATTGAGGACATGTAGATGCTCGTTTAAACCATGTTTCAATGCAGGGACCGTGGAAAATGTGGCCACAAGGAAGAGCTGAGAGATGTTTTTCGGAAACACTCTCGAGCAACTCTTGACATACTACACATTGGGCGATAATCATTCCAGAGAAGAAACTTGAAAGTGGGAAAATAAGTGGGAAATTAGATAAATTTATATAATGAAACCCGACAATTGAATGCAATGTAAAGGTAATTAAACGCAAAAACAGCAAATGGCCATCAGTGATTTGTCACGTGGACCCGTACAACAAGTGGCTGACTGCTGTTCAAATCATGAAGAAGTCGTAAACACAGTTGTCTAAGAAATTGCGCTGATTATTCAGGGAAATTCATTTTAGCAACTAAAAGCTAGACTTTAATTGAGAAAGCGACCAAGTGGCAAGGTTCGCTAAAAATATTCCTCTTATATACATGAAAGCATTGCGAAAACCGAAAAGAGTTGCAGCTGTGGCGTCGCTACGTTGTCCCACAATGCGCTTTAAACCCGCTGCAGTGAATTGGGTGCAGCCTGATGTGGCGTCGGATGAGGGCGCAGACATGTTGGACCACCTGGCCTCAGCCAATCCCGTGTCCCTCTGCGATCCAATGGCATGCGGGAAAGGAAGGCAGCCAACCAGAGAAGGACATGGACGAGATGCAGTATATAATGAGCGGCGTGGCCAGCGTGGCGGACTCGGATGGAAGGCGCCTGACGCGTGGCTCTGGCTTCTGATTGGTCAATAAAGCCTGTTCAGTTGTACCAGTCTTTTACCTATTTGGGCTCGGGTAATCTACACTGACGAAGTCTCGAAGCGCAGACATATTGGAGTACACTGGTTTCAGCCAATCCTGTGTCTCTCTGCGTGCCACTAGCATGTGGAGATGAGCAGCCAACCAGAGGACATGAATGAGGTGAAGTATAAAATGGGCGGCGTGGCCACCATGACGGACTCAGATGAAGGGCGCCTGACATGTGGTTCTGGCTTGTAGTTGGTCAATAAAGCCTGTTCTGTTGTATGAGTCTTCTTCCTTCTAGGGCTCGGTTATTATATATTGGTGGCAGCGGATGCGTTTGAATAACGCGAATCGAAACCCAGCACTTTCCGTACAGTGGACAACAGAGGCCATGACCCTTAAATGCCAGCTAAAGTTGTCATGGCGTATAAGGACGCAGAAATATTGGACCAGCCGCGCGGATCCTTAACTCCCCCTCATAAACACGGATATTTATCTTGGATTATCCTCACACCTTGGTCTACATGTTAGCACATCTATGACTCATGCATCTGAGGTAAAAATACACACGCCCAAACCCCACACACGACACAACGACACCAAAGTGATTAAGCTCTGAATTAAACGGTTGTGTCCATGTCATCTCCGGTCTTTTTCTTCACCGCGGATATCAGGAAAGCGTAATCGAGCCAGGGATAATTCACTGGCCCCGGGGTGGTTCAAGACCACATGCTGGGGCCCACAACAAAGATATGCAGGGAAGCAGAGACAGGCACGTGTAAGAACGGGCCCAGCCAGCATGGTGGGCTCGGATGAAAGGCATCTAACGTGTGATTCTGATTTGATCTGCTCTGCTGTACCAGTCTAGTTCATACTGGTGTGCAGTGTGATAATATAGGGCCGCGATCCTGGTGTACAGCCATTTATCGAGAGCCCATGGCGTGACATGCCTACAGCATCACGTGAGAGGTGGTGTTTCTTCCGGTTGTGTGGGGCTGTGGGGTTTCGAATGAAGAGCCAGAGGCCTAATACCCAAACACCTCGGGAGTTTGTCTCTATATCTGAATGCCAAGCCGGAGCCAATGGGCGGACATGAGCAAACTGGAACAACCACTAAAGCAAACCTTCGTCCACAATAAACTTTAACCGTGATAATGGGGACTCCTATCCGTATTTTTGTACCAATAAATCTATATAACTGTCCCTACCACCTCTTATCATGTCCAGGAATGTTACAAGTTGTAGCAGAGGTTCTCGCAGAGACCAAAAAGATCTTTAAAACATGTCGGCAATGATGGAACAACTGGATGGCCAATATCATTAGTTGCCGTACGATTTTCCAAATTAAGAATTTGGTGATTAGGCAGCATGCTCTTTAGAGCCCCATATACAGAAACTTTAAATCCATGTAAAATGGAAAACATCGCCACACCTACAAAACAGCACGCACCAAAATTGGTATGTATTAAAATAGACGTAATTGGTAAAAGAATATTTAGGGTAAAAGGAAGCATTCGATTAAGGTATCAACAAAATAGGAACCTTTGATGTGCGACAATTTGCTTAAGCTGGATAAACACTTTTTTGAGGACGATTACATCGGTGGTGCCACGTGAATCTGCTAATTTTTCAAATATGATGCTTTCCTTAAATCCTCGTTCAGTTATCAGCGTGTGGCTAATGATCACCATACTGATTTGAGAGCGATATAACAATTTTACATTTTTTAATATTTTGCAATTTGTACGAAATTTCGAATTCAGTTAATAAGTAGGATGTGCGATCAAATCTAAGGTCAATCGACCACATGAAATACTAAGATACTTGTTCGACGCATTCACATCTATGTAAAATCGTTCACGAATATTCACAACGGTACCAAAAGCAACCAGAAATGTAATTTTCGATGCATTCGACGGTTTAAGATTCGGGACCGAACTCCAATACCTCGAAAAATCCCATGACTGAACATCATATGTGGCTTAAGCACACACGCGCCCCGATTTCTAGCCGTGTATTGGAATCTGACAAGAATGGCCTTATTTCATGGAATGTATCTCATTTCGTAATAGCAGATCGGATGACAGGCAAGATCCGAGCAAGCCAAAGCACTCGAGTAATATAAAAGCGGTCTATTCGAGTGTCGGTAGTGAACCTGACATTCTGGAAATAGAAAAGTACCATGCTTGACAAGTTCTCATATACTTGCCTGGTAACATAATTTAAATGGGATCAAAAATCTTTAAAAATGAGAGAAACACTCCGATTTGTCGAGAAGTTACGCCTGAATATGAACCAAATTTATAAGTAGCTGTTTTCACCAAGATCAAACGATGCAGACCCATGTAACGAAATATAATTCACAGCCCCGATACATTTAATAACAGCCAAAATTATAGTTAGATGTTGTATCAGGTTCGTAGTTCGACGGGGAATGGTTCGATGTACGAAAAAGCATGTGCGTCCACCGAATGCTCGAAGGCTCTGAACAAAAACATATAAGCAATAAACAAAGGGAATGCACAGTGTGGTAAAAATATAATGGGAGGGAATCCAAGCGCGTAAGGCGATGACTGCACAAGGTTGCAAAAGTACACTAGATGACAAGCACAGATGGTACGTGAGTTTCTAACGTATCAAGGTAAGGAATAAAATATCGAATCAATACATGGGCTTGTGGCAAAATAAAGAGTGAATGAATAAAGTATACTTTGGAATTGATGACAACAGATGACAACTTTTCAGAAACATACTTCGGGAATTCTTCATCTGTAAACACTGTTGCATTTTCATTGACAGATGACAAAAGGTATGACCCATCCTCAATATTATGAGTAGTTGAGAAGAAATCCGTAACCAAAGTATTCGACGGATTTCTTGCAAACAAATCAGTCCGATACTTCACCGTAGATTGACACATGGCGAATGTACAGAGGTTGAGCTACAAGTAACATTTGCGTGAAGAGTCAGAGAAACGAAAATAAACTTACGAATTCCACCATATTATGTTTACTTTCATGAGTTAATTTCTCTAAAAATTGCAGTGCGTAATAAGAATAACGATCCGCGACGAACACACCAATTGTGGCGTCAAGATGATGCTAAAATTATGGGTCGAAGACTTGAAATCAGGCATACCGCAAGCGACTCTTCCCCAATTTTACTACTCCCGACGGTGATAACGTTCGGAGAATAGACTTGACTACCCATGGATTCAGCTTGACAAGTATCAGTGATTATGAGCATTTCATTGTACCTATAACGATGAAGTAAGAAATGCAAGAACATACCTACGAGAAAGCCACATTTGATTAACAACATCAGCTAATTCTACACTGGAAAGCTCACTGTCATCCTGGAATTTTAGAAAGCCTTCACCTCCATGACCAGTCATATAAATCAGAATATTGCTATGTTGATCTGTGTTGAGTCTCTTAGATGCAGGAGCCGAGGGCTGTAGTCTGCCAGTTACAACCCTAATGAAATTATCAACGGTGACTTCATAGCCACGATAATCCACTTCGATATCATCACCATACAAATCGATTGGGTTGTAAGCACTCTGATAAACA